CCTCAGTCTGTATAAATGAGCTGACTGGTGCATTCAAATAGTTAAAGTGTGGGAGACCAAACCTCGCTCTGTTTGACCCCTGATGAGGGTTGAATCAATGAAAGGTCCAGTGTGTAACATTGAGGAGGATCTACTGGCACAAATGGAAGATAATAACTATGTTTTCATTAGTGTATAATCACCTGAAAATAAGGATCAAACCAACATTCAGGCTCTAAAATACGGGAGGTTTTTAATAGTGTCCATATTAAAGGCATGGTCACTATCCTGGTGTGTTTGTGTGTGTTTAGATATTTTAGGTGAAACGTCATCCTGCTCTGACATTTTTACAACCACTGAATCTGGTTGTGTGTTTCCAGTTTGTGACGACTGACAGTTGGTTTTTATTGTATATTGTGTTGATAGAGTGCACATTATTTCATAGACGATGTGGCAACTTGTTTGTTGTTTATTCAGCCTCAAACTCTAAAAGTAAAACATTTGGTTTCACCCTGACTGAAAGTCAATATAAAGTCACACCCGTTATCTAACCCACAGTGAAAGTACACATTGTTAATCTGAGGTTGTCTTTGTGGATATTTTACTCTGGACTTTGACTGTACAGCTTCCGCCCTGAGTTGAGGCTCCTTCACTTACTCAACAGGTATGTAGGATTTTTACATCAAACACTTAACAATACATTACATTAGTGATTTATTTCACATGCCATTATTGTATTTATTTATAGTGTGTTTCTGGATTAAAAGTCAAACTGTCAACAGTCTTTTTCTGTAGTATTATTTCATTCATGTGGCTACAGTAGTGAACGCTGTGGTAATCTGGGACCAATCAGCATTTTACTTTGTATTCACACATATCCAACCTGCTTTCCTCTTGTCTTAACTACAATGTTCAACTCTGTTTTATTTGTTACTAATAAAACATTCAATCACATTGTTCAGGAGTTTATATGAACAGTAAAACCACCACTGTGTTCAACAAAGGTCTGAATCATTACACTGATTACACTGCGTTCAGTTATGATTGAGATATTTCTCCTCTGGTTCCCCCCCTAAAAGTAATTTTCCCCCAGGGATTATTTTTGTATTTCTGATTCTGATTCTGATTTTAGAGAGAATTGAGTCAATTTATTCTCATTTTCAGAACTTTAGAATGATTCACATGAAGTCTGCTATCTTCAATCAGCCATCTCTTCAACCCTCATCATCATCGCCATCACCATTTTGTTCTGTTTTTCCTGTCTGTCCTGGTAAAAGGACTGCTGTCCTTACACATTTCTACACTTACTGTGGGGTTTTCTGTAACACCTTTTAAACAGTAGGGAGTACAGAGTGTGTACAATCTAAATCAACAAATGGCCACTTTAAGGTGTGTGTGTGTGTGTGTGTGTGTGTGTGTGTGTGTGTGTGTGTGTGTGTTGTTCATTAGGTTTGAGAAACGCTGGTTGATCTACATTAAATAAAGACACAGAAGACTGACATGTAACACAAGCAAACAGCTACTGAAGCTATCAGCTACTTTTACCTGATACAGTTGAGATAATACTGCCTGTATTGAATGTACTACTGTAATATTGTGATAATGCAGCTATGAAGGATTCCATTGAGAGAAAACATAAAAGACTTTATTTCTTTTTTTATTAATTATTGCAATATAATAAAGTTTTTAAAGGATTATTTTATTGATTTGTCTTGTTACCAGTATAAACTAAACACACAAGTGTATTTCTCCACTGGTTCTTCAACGTCTCCTCATATCAGTTACATTTGTTGTCTGCCTGCATGTTCTAACACGTTTTTAACGTTTCAGGCTGTTTAACTTTTTAGGATCCTCCCCTCCTGTATGCATCAGTGACGTTCTTCTTCATTGCCTTCAGAGCGGGAACAGCACAACATGACTGATCCAGTTTGCATTCTTCACCCTGCAGGTAAGAGTTGTTTTTTAAAGTAAAATAGTCCCTGATCAGCATTTTACTAATTTAATCAATAATCCTCTTTCATAATGAAGTACAATTAACAGATAAATTGTTAATTAGCTGTGAAATTACGACAGGTTAACATATAAGGGCAGTTTCTTGCTTTAAATGATGCATATGTTACACTTCAGTCAGGACCACTTTTGTCAAAAGAGAACTTATTTCCAAATGCAGAATGTGATATTTGGCGGTATGGATCTGTTCTGGGACCTCTCTGCCCTTCCACGTGCACATGTGAAAAACTTAAGACAAGGAGAGCAGCAGCAAAGACCCCTCAGGGTACAGGACAGAGCAGGCTTCAATGACAGAAATAACATTGATTAAATCAGATAACACATAAAAGGTCAAGCTGGGGTGGAGGTGGGTTGCAGAGGATGCAGCAACGGTAGGCAGCTTAAATAAGGCACCACTAAATGAGGGGCCACTGGGGGCTTTTGAGGGACCTTTGGCTGATCTTTTGGGGCCACTGATTCCTGATGGTATTTCAGGCTGCATTTGAGACATAACTATGAACTCTGAAAGAGAGGAATAACAGTAAAAGTTATAAAATTATATGAACTACATGTGCTCTAACTGTGAAATAATGGGAAAAATCAAAACACCAAACAGAAAGAAATATGATGTCTTTTTCTTACTGAAACATGATAATTTTTGTTGTGCAGCCTCATTTGTGCAGAAAGGGCTGAGATAATATTGACTGCTGCTGAAACTCTCACCCTCCAATAACACACTAAGGTGTTAAAATGTCAATAACATTGATATTTTTAAGACAGACAAAATGTCTTCAAATATACAACCAGACTGTAGGAGGAGGAGAAGAACAGAAAAAGCTCATACAACACAAGATTCCCTTCATGGACATTCAGGCACTCTTTGACTGATTTTCCACAAGTACGTGAATGTTTAGATCTGGTTTCAGATAAAGGTGAAAGAAAAACAAGTTGGTAGTGATCCACTGAGACAGAAAGATGAAAGAAAAGATAAACTAAAAAACAGCAGAGTTTCCAACAAGGGAAGACATTTGTTTTTGTTTTTTGTTTGTTTTTGTTTTTGTTTTATTTGCAGGAGTCTACAATGCTGTCCAGTGATGGACTGTCCTTCAGGACCTGCAATGTTTTAATGTGTCTGATACTGACTTTTGAAGGTATTTCCACACAAAACACTCCAGGAACATTTTGATGTGTGTGTTCTGGATGTTTCACACATGTAGTATGTCTGTATTTTTATACTAGGAGAGAGAGAGAGAGAGAGAGAGAGAGAGAGAGAGAGAGAGAGAGAGAGAGAGAGAGAGAGAGAGATGTTAAGTCCATGTCCACTACAGCAAGGACTCAGCTTTGGTAAATGGGGTGCCAGATCCACCAGATGAGCTACCAGGAGGCCCCACTGTTACACATTGATTTACAAATATTTTATAGAAAGCTGTTTAGAAATTAAAAATTTTTATCAGTAGAGGAGGAAGAACTCTAACAGTCAGTAAATGAAGCACTGCCACAAAATACATAATCCTTAATCAGTATTTTACTCATTTAATCTATAATCTACTTTCAGGATGAAGTCCTATTAACAGTTAAAGGATAAATGTTACAGTTCTTTTCAATAATTAACCGTTAATTTCCTGTGAAATGATTGAGGAGTTAACATGTGAGGGCAGTTTGATGCTTTAAAGGATGCATTTAGATACACAGTCCATCTTAATACAAACATACATTGAAAGAGTTATTGATCACTTTTTCCTGAACTGACGCTCTATCACAACTTCAGTGGAAGCGGCTGTGTGTTAAGTAGAGAGTAAAGACATTTGTTTTATTTGTGTTTTTTAGAACAACCAGACTAAAGGATGCTGCCCAGTGACAGACTGTCCTTCATAATTCTTCTAATACTGACTTTTAAAGGTAATTTGCACGCAAAACAGTAACACAGTCTACAGTCACACTGGTTGCTCTGAGGCTCCAGCGGTCGATTTTCTTTGTTTTTGATGCAGTTTTAGAACAATGTTTATGATTTCATGCTTTTTAATTAAATGTTTTCTTACTTTTAGAAAGTAATATGAATAAAAATGAATCCATTCAGTCTGATGACATGTATTATAACTATACTACTGTTTCTTGTTTGTTCTTTAGTTTGCGTTGCAGAGCAGTCAGAGTTGATTTGTTCACATCAACCAATCGTAGCCCTGGCTGGTGATGATGTCATTCTACCATGTTACCTTGATCCTCCAATCAGTGCCAGTTTTGAGACAGTGGTGTGGACCAAACCTGGTTTAGACCCAGAGTACATCCATTTTTACCAAGATGGACGACTGATACATCGAATTCAAAATCCATCTTATTTTCTCAGAACGAGACTGTTTGTGGATGAACTGCAGAATGGAAACGTCTCCATGAAAATCTTCAGAGTGAAAATCTCTGATGCAGGAAAATACTTTTGCATCCTTGAACCAATGTTGAAGGAAGCTTCCATCCAACTCACTGTTGGTAAGTCAGACTTTCTGAAGATGATGAATTACACATTTCTGCTGACTGCAAAGATCAGTAATGTAACTTTATATTAGAAGTAAGCAGCCATGATAAGACACAAAGAAAACAGTGCTGTAAGTTATTTGTTGGATCTGAATCCACTGTTTGAAATTCCTCCTCTCTTCTCATCAGGTGTCGTCTCCACTCCCATCATAGAGGTTGTCTCCAATAACAGTGGAAGAGTAGTTTTACACTGTGAGTCTAAAGGCTGGTATCCAGAGCCTGAGGTGGTCTGGCTGGACGGTGAGGGAAACCTCCTCTCTGCTGGACCTACAGAGACAGTCAGAGGTCCTGATGACCTCTATACTGTCAGCAGCAGAGTGACTGTGGAGAAGAGACACAGCAACAACTTCACCTGTAGAGTCCAACAGAAGGACATCAACCAGACCAGAGAGACACACATCTATGTTCCAGGTTATAAAGAGCTCTAAATATATTAAACATATTGTCACTGTTGAGCTCTAGTTTGATTCAATAATGTCATTCTGTTCTCTCTTCTATCTTTTCAGATGTTTCATTCACAGTTCAGTCGTCTTCTGATCGGATTCGGATCATCATCATTCTTCCTGTTTGCATTATTGTGCTGTTCATCATTATCACTCTGATAATATGTAAGTCACATATTTATTTTCCTTTTTTATTCCAAGTTCCTGTCAGAGCTCTTTATTGACATACATACAGGCATAACAACAGTAACTAAGCAAACAGTCTGAAATGATCTTCACTGCAGGAAATTTGAGGAAAATTGAAGAAATCTAAGAAAATGTGTTGCTTTCAAAACTAAGGCAAAAACACAAAAACACTGTTCTTCTTCTGTTGGCTCACAGGCACAAAGAGGAACCAGAAGAATGAAACTGAACAGGAAGAGGAAGAAGGTCAACAGCAGGATGTAAAAACTACAGAGTTTCTGACCCAAATAAACACTGAAGACGAGAGACAGAAGACATTTGAAAACACAGAGAGATGCAGCGTTCAACGACGTCGACTAAAGCGTTCCTCTAGTGATGGAGAACTAGGAGCTCGTAGAGAATTAGAGTTGAGGAAATCATTGTGACACTGGAGCATATTCTCCATCTTTTCTGCTCTACCCGGGCAGGCGGCTGTCAGAGCTCAGACGTAGAGCGGGTCGTCCACTATTCAGAAGGTTGGAGAGAGAGAGAGAGAGAGAGAGAGAATTACTGAAGGTGACAAATCAATATCTTGTCATACATATTGAGTACACACAGTTTCTGTTTGCCAGTATTTTCTTGTTGTTGTTTATCTCCTCATTGTATTAATGAACATTATTATTGACTGAATGTATTCTGAGAGAGACATTGCAAATTACACTGTCATTATGGTGAGATACTATATAATGACATATACTACATATTATATATAGAATATATATAACTATACTACTAATAACAACTACTGAAATATTTGTTTACTATATTTTATTGTTGTTGTTATTCTGATTGATCTCAGTATTGCTAGTTCCATTAGTTTAGTCGTATACTTTGTACATCCGTTTATACTTGATTAATAAAATACTTAATAACCTTTACTGATGTGTTTATTTTAAAGTAATAATTCTAACAGCATTATTGTTCAAGAATAACTACAAAACGATATAATGATAGAAACATGAATCAGGTTCAACTCTAACTGGAGAGATCTTCTGTATAACATTCAAAATGTGTCTTTTAAATGTACTAAAGTGTTTTGATGCCCTGATGATCCACAGAGGGAGAAGCTCTTGAACTGTAGGTTCAGTGTCCTCAACCTGGCAACCCAGGTGAGCTTCTAGTTTGGGGAGGAGAGATTGGGGGGAGACAACCTCCTACAATGTTTTAAATTTGGACTGCAGTACCCATTTTAAACACTTGCTGTCAGTCTTATTGCTCCTTTAATGATGTTGGTGTCCAGTCTGAGATATGAGGGCTGACTGAAGATTCCTGCTTTAATTTCATGTAAGAGAAGATAAGATAGACTTTATTGATCCCACACTGGAAACTCACTTGTTACAGCAGCTGCAGATAAAACTCAGCAGATAAGAAAGAAAAGAGAGATAAACATTAAATAAGCAATTAAAATAAAATGAAAACAATAGAATTAATTAATTATTGTGTAAATGTATGTATGTAATGTATCAATGTTTCCACTTTAGCACTTTAAACTGTTTTATTTGTCCTACGAGTTAAAATGTCAAAGTTCTTTAATAATTCAATGAAAAAAAGCTTCATTGCTTAAAACATCATGAATGATGTCTGATTGGATTTGATCAGGTGTTCATCCTCCAGGAGACTCAGTCAGTCTGTTCTTAATGTCTGCAGTTAACTTCTTCGTCCTCTATCAGCAGCTCTCCTCTTCCTCTGCAGGAATATGTCTCCTTATAAACAGCCACAAGAGGGCGCAACAGGCTTTCTGACAGACACACAACTAAACACTCAACAGTGTTTACTTTATACCTCAGTCTGTATAAATGAGCTGACTGGTGCATTCAAATAGTTAAAGTGTGGGAGACCAAACCTCCCTCTGTTTAACCCCTGATGAGGGTTGAATCAATGAAAGGTCCAGTGTGTAACATTGAGGAGGATCTACTGGCACAAATGGAAGATAATAACTATGTTTTCATTAGTGTATAATCACCTGAAAATAAGAATCAAACCAACATTCAGGCTCTAAAATACAGGAGGTTTTTAATAGTGTCCATATTAAAGGCATGGTCACTATCCTGGTGTGTTTGTGTGTGTTTAGATATTTTGGGTGAAACGTCATCATGCTCTGACATTTTTACAACCACTGAATCTGGTTGTGTGTTTCCAGTTTGTGACGACTGACAGTTGGTTTTTATTGTATATTGTGTTGATAGAGTGCACATTATTTCATAGACGATGTGGCAACTTGGGTGACGTCTGACAAACATACAATATCTATGGATTTGTGTACGGTGATTATTGATAACAAAGTGTGAGGGACGTACAAATTACTGGAGTTTCCTGGGAGAGACAATGAAACAGGAGGGTGCCGGGAGATGGACTTGAAATACGGGAGTTTTAGGCTTAAAAGCAGAAAGACAACATTGTTCATGGAGCCTCAAACTCTAAAGGCCACAACATCTCAACTGTTAGTTAATATGAAGTCATAAAACTTGTTATCTGACTCAAGTGCAGGAATCAAAGTACACATTGGTTTATTATAGGCTGTCTTTGTTTAATTCAGACTTTGATCGTGCAGCTACTTTCCTGAGTTGAGGCTCCTTCACTCACTCAACAGGTATGTAGGATTTTTACATGAAACACTTAATAATATATTATATTAGTGATTTATTTCACATGCCATTATTGTAATTATTTATAGTGTGTTTCTGGATTAAAATTCGAACTGTCAATAGTCTTTTTATGCAATGTTTTTCTTTAGGTCTTTTCCTTATATTACCTGAATTGAGGGTCTAAGGGAGGACTGCTAAAATAAAACTTAATGATGATCAACAGGTTGAAAGCAAACACCCGTTGTATTGTGTTATAAGATAGAAAGTGGTAACAGAAAGTTCCCTTAACTGACTTTCTGTGCAGTGTCACTCCACTCTGCCCGCTGGGACACAAGAAATAAAACAGCATGCTATTTGTATTATCTATTTCTGTTATTGACTAGAAATATCTGGTGAGGAAAATCAAACCTTATAGCGTTCCAACTTTGAGCAGCTCTCTGAGGCAGGTTGTGATTTTGGGCTTTATAAATAAAATCTGACTTAAAATTCTAAAGAAGAAAAATAGTATTAATCAGCATTTTCTGTGATGTTATTTAAAGTTCATGTGGAGAATAATACATGTCAGTAAGTTGTGTTTCATTCCACAAAGAAGTTTTGTATTATTACTGTGAACTGGTGATGATATCAGTGGTTTCATGTATTTACAGCTGTGGCTGTTAACTCAGTGTGTCTGTAGTCAGACATATGAACACAGTAACTGTGTTTTAGGCCTAAAAGGAGAAAGAAAACATTGTTCATGAAGCCTCAAACTTTAAACAGGATCTCAACTGAAAGTTAATATTAAGTCATAAAACTTGTTATCTGACTCAAGTGCAGGAATCAAAGTACACATTGTTTTATTATAGGCTGTCTTTGTGTTTATTCCAGACTTTGACCGTGCAGCTACTTTTCTGAGTTGAGGCTCCCTGACACTCACGCAACAGGTATGTAGGATTTTTACATCAAACACTTAATAATACATTATATTAGTGATTTATTTCACATGCCATTATTGTAATTATTTATAGTGTGTTTCTGGATTAAAAGTCAAACAGTCTTTTTCTGCAGTATTATTTCATTCATGTGGCTACAGTAGTGAACGCTGTGGTAATCTGAGACCAATCAGCATTTTACTTTGTATTCACACATATCCAACCTGCTTTCCTCTTGTCTTAACTACAATGTTCAACTCTGTTTTATTTGGTACTAATAAAACATTCAATCACATTGTTCAGGAGTTTATATGAACAGTAAAACCACCACTGTGTTCAACAAAGGTCTGAATCATTACACTGATTACACTGCGTTCAGTTATGATTGAGATATTTTGTGAATTGAGTCGAGTTATTTTCATTTCCAGAACATGAAGGACAGAACATAACAATGTGAACATAATAATGTTAGACACTAAGGTGCTTCCACATGAAGTCCGATATCCATCCTGTAAATAAGTAACCACGGTGATAAAACAGCTGTGGACCCATTTTTGTAGCAAAACTATTAATAAATGTTAGTGGAGAGTTGTGTGACTGTATCTCAATCTGTGTGTAAAATAATCTGTAAATATGTTCTGAGGTTTGTGAACGTATCGAGGGAGCCGAACCTGACAGGAAAACCACCTGGGTCTCTGTCCTCAGACTGGCCTCCATCGGACTTGGAGGCTGTTCGGTCCCGGGTCAGCTGTGTTCACACTGTGCTCAGTTAGCACATCAGCTATCTGCTACGGTATGTAAAGTGAATTATTTTTATACTTCAGAAGTCGTTGATGTAGTACTCTGACTTACTATAACAACATTAGATTCATTGACCCTTCACATTGTGACTTTCCACAACACTCACCTCGTGTCTGCGGCTTCAGATGAAAGTCAAAGAAAAACAAAAGAAGAGAGACAGTGAAACCAAAGAGAAACTAAAATCAACTGTAGAGTTTCTACCCTGTTCAACCTCATTTTCCACTAAAGACATTTGTTTTATTTGAGTAATTTTAAACAACCAGACTAAATCCTTTTTTTATTTTCAGAAGTCTACAATGCTGTCCAGTGATGGACTGTCCTTCATCAGTGTTTTAATGTGTCTGATACTGACCTTTGAAGGTAATTTCCACACAAAACACTCCAGTAACACATTGATACAATCATTACAGTCTACAGTCACACTGGTTGATCTGTGAGGGTTTGAGCTTAATGCTAACGGTAACATGCTCACAATGATAATGATTTGTAGCAGGTAGAATCTGATCTTGTCCACGATATTAGTTCAGCATGTTAACATGCTTTTTAAATATTTGGTCATAAAGTATTGGACAAACTGAAAGTTTGACCTTTCAGAGACTTCAGAGTAATTCATTCTCTGGGAACCAGGAATATTTCTACAAGATAGAATGGGAACTAAACAAAGTGACAGACTGATGATCATCATTGCCCCTAAAAACTCCAGTAAATGTAAATTTCTTTACTGAGAGTCAGCTGCTGTTTATATTCTCACTGCTGATGCTGTCTGATATTTGTGCTTGAAGCTCAAACTGTGATGAGTGTGAGTCAGATACAGACTCTGAGGCTCCAGCGGTCGATTGTCTTTGTTTTTGATGCAGTTTTATAAATGTGTTCTTACTTTTAGAAAGTAAAATGAATCCATTCAGTCTAATGACATGTATTATAACTATACTACTGTTTCTTGTTTGTTCTTTAGTTTGCGTTGCAGAGCAGTCAGAGTTGATTTGTTCACATCAACCAATCGTAGCCCTGGCTGGTGATGATGTCATTCTACCATGTTACCTTGATCCTCCAATCAGTGCCAGTTCTGAGACAGTGGAGTGGACCAGACCTGGTTTAGACCCAAAGTACATCCATGTTCACCAAGATGGCCAACCTGTGTATCTATTTCAAAATCCATCTTACAATAACAGAACGAGACTGTTTGTGGATGAACTGCAGAATGGAAACGTCTCCATGAAAATCTTCAAAGTGAAAATCTCTGATGCAGGAAAATACTTTTGCATCCTTGAATCAATGTTGAAGAAAGCTTCCATCCAACTCACTGTTGGTAAGTCAGACTTTCTGAAGATGATGAATTACACATTTCTGCTGACTGCAAAGATCAGTAATGTAACTTTATATAAGAAGTAAGCAGCCATGATAAGACACAAAGAAAACAGTGCTGTAAGTTATTTGTTGGATCTGAATCCACTGTTTGAAATTCCTCCTCTCTTCTCATCAGGTGTCGTCTCCACTCCCATCATAGAGGTTGTCTCCAATAACAATGGAAGAGTGGTTCTACAGTGTGAGTCTAAAGGCTGGTATCCAGAGCCTGAGGTGGTCTGGCTGGACGGTGAGGGGAAACCTCCTCTCTGCTGGACCTACAGAGACAGTCAGAGGTCCTGATGACCTCTATACTGTCAGCAGCAGAGTGACTGTGGAGAAGAGACACAGCTACATCTTCACCTGTAGAGTCCAACAGAAGGACATCAACCAGACCAGAGAGACACACATCTATGTTCCAGGTTATAAAGAGCTCTAAATATATTAAACATATTGTCACTGTTGAGCTCTAGTTTGATTCAATAATGTCATTCTGTTCTCTCTTCTATCTTTTCAGATGATTTATTCACAGTTCAGTCGTCTTCTCTTTGGATTTGGATCATCGCCATTCTTATTATCAGTACTTTTGGACTACTCAATATTATCCCTCTGATAATGCAACGTAAGTCACAAATTTATTTCCCTTTTTATTCCAAGTTACTGTCAGAGCTCTTTATTGACGTACATACAGGCATAACAACAGTAATCAAGCAAACAGTCTGAAATGATCTTCACTGCAGGAAATTTGGGGAAAATGGAGGAAATAAAAGAAAATGTGTTGCTTTCAAAAGCTTTCTCTCATTTGGAAATGTTCTGTTTATGAAAGTCACTGTGATGTTAAAAATATTCCAGTTCAATTATCATATTTTTGTTCTGCTTGTGTAGTTTTCTCACTTTAACACTCATTCATTGATTAGACGAAAACACATGAACACAACAACTTCAACACTTTCCTGTTTCTGTTGGCTCACAGTCATTAAGAGGATCCTGAGGAATGAAGAAAACATCCCAAAGAAGCAAAATGCAGTTGAGGAAAACCTTCTCAAGACGGGACTGCGGTGACCAAAATGACCAGAAGGTGGCAGAAAAGAAGAGCAGAGGAAATCGTGACACTGGAGGATATTTTACAAATGTTCACATTTAAGTTCCTGAGCTTTTTATTTAGCTTAGCTTTAGCTCAAGATGTAGCAATATTAGCACATTAAGTACATTTTATTTACAATATACTAATACAACATTTTATTTTATTTTTACTATTAAAACTATCAATAGATCATACTCTCATTTATTATGTCATTGTGGTCATTTTCAACACTGTCAGTAATTCAGACACTATCTGACTTTACATCTGGAACCTTTAAAGTCATTTAACAATGTAATAAAACACAGGGTGACTCCTTATTGAACAGAAACCTTTACACTCACTTTATGCTCTCTGATATTAGAAAGAAAGGTTAGTGCGCCCCCCTGCTGATAAATAAAGGTTCAATATTAGTGTCACTGCATCTTCCTCTTCATGCTCCTATAATGTGTGCTGCTCTCACGTCTCCAGGTTCAGACACTATGAGGACTTTGTATTAGAAGTAAGCAGCCATGATACAACAGAAAGAAGACAAAGTAAAACAATTCATAAACACTTAACAATGTAAAGTCAGATTAAAATCAACATTGACTGGAAAAAAACATGAAAGGTGTCCTGTGGAATTTTATTCTACACAGACAACAGTTCAATCGTCTTCCTGCCTTTGCAGGTCCATTGCTGCGTTTGCTGCCACCTGTAGATCACAAGGTAACACAAACAGAGAGCCACTGATGAAGACATTGTTTCACAGCACTTACAGAGGTCAGAAACACCACAGGCTGTCTTTAAAGCAACTCTAAGGTTGGTATTTGTTGGGATTCAGCCCTCAGTTACCACTGTGGTAAATATGGACAGCTGAACATGTGCTGATATCTTGTCTGTTTTGGTTCGGCATCATTCAGCACAACTGTTGTTCCCATGTGTATGTGTTTGTCATTGAACTGGTGACTCTTACTGGTTGTTCTGGGTGCTGTTACAGAGGAGGCTGGGATCAGAGTAACAAATACTGCAGTGCAGGAACACTGACCATCACTAATATGAGGACTGAGAAGAAAAGAAGGAGGCTCAAGAGCTTCAATTCTCACGTTGGAATGAAATCTTTTGATATTATCACAGCTGTAATGAAAGTAAATGTCTTCTCTCCTTTCATTTTCAACTCAACCATCATATTTCTGCTGTGCTTCTTTAGTTTCATCATTTTCACACATTTGCTGTTTCTGTAAGGAAAAAAACTGCATCAACACATGAATAGATTTCTTCTTCTGTTTGCACACAGTCTGCATCAAGAAAGACAAAAGAAACACTGAGACAGAGTCTAGAGTTATCCAGATTGTCTGTAAACGGAGGAACTGGAGAACCAGAGAGCAACTGGGGAAGACAGAGAGAGTGCAGACCAACAGAGAAAACTTCAGGAGGAAGAAATAAAGGACTGTACACATCTGGAATGAGGAGGAGAAAGAGAGATACAAAAGACAGAAAACCACTAAAACCAAAAGTGACATCAGTAGAAAGACAGAAAGGAGTCAGGAGTCGGTGTGAAAATGGAGGAGACAGAGGAGTTGGAGAGGATACTTCAGAGAATGAAGAAGATGGACACAGAGAGGACGCCCTCATAATACAGCAAGAGACACAATTCATACAGAAAGGCAGCTTTAAAGAGTTCTTCATACAGTAAAACAAACTGATAGATGTTACTGGATCAAAATATGTGCACAGATCAGGAGTCAGCAACCTTTATTATCAAAGAGTTATTTTTGGTTTCATTATTGTGTGTAAATATGTAAATATATAATTCAATAAAAAATTTTCGTGTATATTTGGGAATCATTCTTTGTATTTACATTTATTCAGTTCTTAATTCATCAAACTGATTTTAATTTAATCTTGGATTTAATGCTGAACTGATAAATGAACTATAACTGATCATATGAGCGCCATCCACTGGTTTCTGATTCTGATTATTCTGTATTCGGTGAAGAGGAACTGATCACTCATGATTCCTCTTTGTAAGACTTCCATAAGACTGCTGGTGCTGTCCTCTCACAGGAAGGCCACTTCAACATTCAAGTTTCCATAAATAACATCATACCAAATAAATGCTGCTGCCCTGCTTATGAACCCTTCACACACATATTCAGGCACCTTTGACCTTTCTCATCATTTTGTGCCAAAGAAAATAGATTTGTAAAAACAGAAATAGTCTTTTTATTTTAATTGTATATGAAGGGGTGTCACAGACTGATATTCAACTCAAAATACTTTATTTGTCCCTCAAGGGGCAATTCAACGCCAGCGAGTGTGCAAACAGAAGTACACATAGACAGTTTAATCAAATCTTGCGAGTTAGATTATATAGATTATATTAGATTGTATAATTTTGTGTTTGGTGTTACTTCGAACTTGTGACGTGTGGTAGCAGGAGAGAAAAATGTTTCCTCTTTTCTTGTTTTCTTTAACATCGTCCTGGTCTCACTGAACAAGTTCCACTAACTCAGACTCTCTTTCATTGACAATGCTGAATAATCTGTTTTATAAGGTTGTATCATGAATCCAGTTGAACTCAGTGTGGCTCTCTTTGGGGTACCTGTCTTCACATTGGTGATCCTGATAAGTGGTCTCATAAAGCTGGTTGTTAACTGGTTCAGTGAACTCTGAGTTTATCAGTGCAGCTACAAGAGTCATGAGAAAGAAGGCAATCTTTTTAAATTTGTTTCTGTGCAGGAAGAAGTTGTAATGTCTGTAAACACAGTATGAACAGGACTAAACTTTATATGAAAACTACTCTAACAACCTGATTATTAGTCATTCATTCAATGTTCAGTTACATCCTGTGGTAAAATAATACTGACTGAACTCAGCAGCTCTGTGGAGAAATCAATAGAGGAACTCAAAGCCAGATTGAAACTGCCTGAAATTGGATAAAGTCATTGTATATCCTCATTTCCTGTCAGTGTGAGAACAGAACAACATGACAGTGGAGAGTTTTCATCCATCACGCTGTAAGTCAGAGTTTCTTTTTAAAGTAAAACTTGAATGTTAAATGTTGGATTTGTCATCATTTCATTCTTTGACTGTTATAACAATGTGCAGATTATTTTATGGACAAACTCTGTGTTGTTTATTGTGATATCATTATAGTCTATATAAAGTGGACTCACACTGTTACGTAGACACTGAGTCTGTATTTTTATATTGTTATCATTTATTTTACAAACCTTTTATTGAAAGCTTTGAACTCTATTTTTAAAGGAAAAACGATGTTCAGAAAGATTAAGAAAAGAAAATGTATATCACACATAATATCTGGTATTAATCGTTTCCACTAGTAGGCTATATCTATGTGATGACAACAGCATGTGACTGCGGGTTTGTACTTTACTGTCCATGAGGAGGTTAGATGAGGATGTGAGAACAACAGATCACAAAAACACTGAAACCAAAGAGACACTAAAATAAACTCTAGAGTTTCTACCCTGTTCAACCTCATTTTCCACTAAATACATTTGTTTTTATTTATTTATTATTTTATTTTAAACAAGCAAACTAAAGGTTTGTGTCTTTATATTCAGGAGTCTACAATGCTGTATCCAAAGACAGAGCTCTGTGATGGACTGCAGGGTTTTCATCATTCTTCTAACACAGTGTTTAACAGGTAATTTACACATAGAAACAGTCCAGTAACACATTGAGTGTGTGTGTGTGTGTGTGTGTGTGTGTGTGTGTGTGTGTGTGTGTGTGTGTGTGTGTGTGTGTGTGTGTGTGTGTGTGACAAGAATTTTGTTTTTGATGCAGTTTTATTAAATGTGTTCTTACTTTTAGAAAGTAAAAATGAATCCATTCAGTCTGATGACATGTATTATAACTATACTACTGTTTCTTGTTTGTTCTTTAGTTTGCGTTGCAGAGTTGATTTGTTCACATCAACCAATCGTAGCCCTGCCTGGTGATGATGTCATTCTACCATGTTACCTTGATCCTCCAATCAGTGCCAGTTCTGAGACAGTGGTGTGGACCAGACCTGGTTTAGACCCAAAGTACATCCATGTTCACCAAGATGGACAACCTGTGTATCTATTTCAAAATCCATCTTATTATCTCAGAACGAGACTGTTTGTGGATGAACTGCAGAATGGAAACGTCTCCATGAAAATCTTCAAAGTGAAAATCTCTGATGCAGGAAAATACTTTTGCATCCTTGAACCAATGTTGAAGAAAGCTTCCATCAAACTCACTGTTGGTAAGTCAGACTTTCTGAAGATGATGAATTACACATTGTGGTGACTGCAAAGATCAGTAATGTAACTTTATATTAGAAGTAAGCAGCCATGATAAGACACAAAGAAAACAGTGCTGTAAGTTATTTGTTGGATCTGAATCCACTGTTTGATATTCCTCCTCTCTTCTCATCAGGTGTCGTCTCCACTCCCATCATAGAGGTTGTCTCCAATAACAGTAGAAGTGTAGTTTTACAGTGTGAGTCTAAAGGCTGGTATCCAGAGCCTGAGGTGGTCTGGCTGGACGGTGAGGGAAACCTCCTCTCTGCTGGACCTACAGAGACAGTCAGAGGTCCTGATGACCTCTATACTGTCAGCAGCAGAGTGACTGTGGAGAAGAGACACAGCAACAACTTCATCTGTAGAGTCCAACAGAAGGACATCAACCAGACCAGAGAGACACACATCTATGTTCCAGGTTATAAAGAGCTCTAAATATATTAAACATATTGTCACTGTTGAGCTCTAGTTTGATTCAATAATGTCATTCTGTTCTCTCTTCTACCTTTAATCTTGTTTATTCACAGTTCAGTCTCCTATTTATTTGATTTTTTGGATCATCTTCATTCCTCTTTGCATTATTGTGCTGCTCATTTTCAACATGCTGATAAAATGTAAGTCACATATTTATTTTCCTTTTTTATTCCAAGTTCCTGTCAGAGCTCTTTATTGACATACATACAGGCATAACAACAGTAACTAAGCAAACAGTCTGAAATGATCTTCACTGCAGGAAATTTGAGGAAAATGGAGGAAATAAAATAAAATGTGTTGCTTTCAAAAGTTTTCTCTCATTTGGAAATGTTCTGTTTATGAAAGTCACTGTGATGTCTCTCTGTCTTTCTGTCTCTGTCTCTCTCCCTCTGTAAACTCTTGCTCATGGTGGTACTGTTGGGTCTCTGTAAATAACGCTATAAGGAGTTCAGTCTAGACCTGCTCTATTTGAAAAGTGTCCTGAGATAACTTCTGTTATGAATTGGCACTATATACATTGAATTGAATTAAATGTTAAAAATATTCCAGTTCAATTTTCATATTTTTGTTCTGATTGTGTTGTTTTCTCACTTTAACACTCATTCATTGATTAGACATAAACACATGAACACAACAACTTCAACACTTTCCTGTTTCTGTTGGTTCACAGACACAAAGAAGATCCAGATGACTTTAATTAAACTGGAAGGAGATGTAACACATGTTGTGAAACAGTCAATGTTAATGGTTGAAGTAAAGCCAAAGGTCCAGAAGCATAATGTAAATATGAATGCAGTGCAGCTCCAGCTCTTAGTGGAGGGAAATCAGCAACAAGAGGACCAGAGAGAGCAACTGAACAGAGTTCAGAGGTCGCAGTCAGAGGAAACATCAGGAGCAGGAAATAACACTGAAGACACTTTAAAACACAGAGAGACGCAGCGTTGAACGACGTGGACTAAAAACCTCCTGTAGTGACCGAGAACGAGGAGGAAATCATTGTGACACTGGAGGATATTCTCCATCTTTTCCTGCTCTACCATCACACTGACAGAGAATGATGATGTTGTTTGTCTTCCTAGTTTACAATCTATCCATTGTGACTTTGTTTTCAGTCTATGTGAGCAGGTGTTGTCTTTGAGCCAGTGAAAAGGCTGCAGACACACAGTGAAGAAGGGAGATCTTAATGATGTTGGTGTCCAGTCTAAGATATGAGCTGTGACTGAAGATTCCTGCTTTCATTTCATGGATTGTATCAAAGTTCCCACTTTAGCACTTTAAAAGAATCTGAACTGTTTTGTAAAATGTCAACAGGTTGTGTACAAAAGGCTGTGACTGTGTTTAATATTCATTATTATCATCATCATCCATTCTCATCTGTTTAAACACAGAACTGTTCACTGTATATATTTATATTAGTTTAACCTGTTATTGTTTTTATTGTTTTACTCAAGCTGTATGAGTTTATTATTATTTCCTAAAATGTATTAATCCTGCTTTAAACCATGTAATGCAGTTTGTAACTTTGTTTTGAGTATAAATAAAGGTTTATATAAAGTTTCTTCTGAAGCTTTTGACTAGTTTGACAACCCGCAGCACTTTAGGATTTATAATCCATGTTGGTTTAAAAGTTAAAGAGAAAATAATATTGAAATAGTTTTACCAAACAGTTCCCACTCAAGGTCCACTTACTGGTATTTTCTTGAGTTTTCAGCCACATCACACAGTCTTCATGGATGTATGAAGTGTGTTCAGATAATTTCAGCAACCTCAGACTGTAACAGAACAGTTTACCTGCAGCCTTCATTGTATTTTATGGAACAGGAAAGTTTGATCTTCCTCCTGGAGCAGAAGGTCTGTTTAAGCAGCAGATAGTAGCACACAACAATGAAAGATATTAGAAATAACAGACAACACGAGCTGCAGAAATCCAAGAGGACTTCAGATGATGGGTGTTGTGTTTATGGCAGCCTCTCTCTCCTTTAGTTTGACTGACAGCTGAAGATGAACGCAGCAACAGGAACAAACAGAGAAATACTCAGTACAGGTAGAGTACAACAACTAAATCATTTGTCCTGTAAGGAGCTGTGGATGTGACAGGATGCTCCTTTAGTTTCTGATCTTGATACTAGAAAGAAAGGTTAGTGCGCCCCCTGCTGATAAATAAAGGTTCAATATTAGTGTCACTGCATCTTCCTCTTCATGCTCCTATAATGTGTGCTGCTCTCACGTCTCCAGGTTCACAAACAGTCTAAAGCAGAACATCTGTGTGGAGACGCTTCGAGAAGGCAATCACAGGTATCTCACTCTCTGTCTGTTATCAGTCATCAAGTTATCAAATTATACCCCAGGTTAATTAAAACAGTACCTCCAATTATACATATAAAAAACATGACATTATGTCATTGTAGGAAGGGGGGAAGGCTTCAGCACATTACGTTGCCGTAGCATAAGGGCCCCAAATCTTCAAGTAGCTATTTATCAGTTTATAACATAGGAAGTTTTAGCCATTTTGTCCAGACACTCCGTCACTGGTATATCCACTCTAGTTTTCCTACATCCAGTAATAAGTACTGTTCTGCACCATGAGATCTGCTGAGCATTTAGTCCACTTCCCTTTGGTATCACACCTTATAGACAGATCATCAGTTCCTGTACCAGTACAGACGCCATCAAGTGTAATCTGTTTATATGTACTGTAGGGCTCTCTTCATTTCACCTTTATTCATTGTGAAGACTTTAAAAAGTCAGTTATTGGCTTAATATGTGCAAAATTAACACAAAAATCCCCAAAATGTTGTCTTGCTGGGAATGAGTTCTTAAACTAGTGAAATGTGTCAATATCTGTCCCCATAAATATACAATTTTTTATTCAACAGATACTGATGTACTCGCTCAACACTTAAAATGTTATAATTAACTCAGCCACAACATTTAGGTTCGGAGCGTTTGAGTACAGTAAACTATTCTGCAGTGTGGTTTTAGTCTTGATTTCACTTCCACAATTGTCCACTAGAGGTCACTATTTTACTCTCTAAAATCCTTGGTGTCTTTTGTAGTACAAGTATGAATTTGCTTCTGTTAGACCATGAACCAGTTTGGACTTTGATGTTACTCATGTGTTTCAGCTGAAGGCAAACAGATTGAAGGAGAGGCCTCCTATTGACTGGGACTGACCTATCAGAGTGTAGGAGAACATGACTCTGCCAAACAGGTATCGTGTGTGTGTGTGTGTGTGTGTGTGTGTGTGTGTGTGTGTGTGTGTGTGTGTGTACGCGCCTGTGTGTGTGGACCAGCCTACATATCTAACAGGGCACTTTAGCGTCCTTACACACCCACAAACAGGGGACTTTTCTGGGGTCCCCTTTTGGACATGCTTTCGACCTAAAATCATGTGTAATTTGCTCTTGTGAACTTTTTAAAATTTTTGCCAACAGGGGACTTAAAAGTGTGTGAGTGTTAAATCCATATTCGGCTTTGACTCTGCAGGCTGGAGCAGGGATTTGTTGTTGTTCCATACCATTCAACAGGGGACCCCTGTCATTCTATACAGTCCCCAATTTAAAGCACTAACATATCAGTTACACTGCACAGTTTAAGATACATTTCAGTTGACAATACTGATTCAATTCAACTGAATGTCATTTAGTTCCAAATCATCTCCGGACATTTCATATGGAGCAGGTTTAGACCATACTCTTTATAAAATTAAGGAGGAAATAAAGACTTATGAAGTGACCCATTCTGAGTATCAGCGTGACCTTAATGCAGCTTGTGTGCCTTTCACTATATGCAAACTCTCAGTTCTTCATCCTGCACCATTTGACAACCCTCTTATATGCCTTCTATATTCACCAATAAATATACAACTTCATGTGCCACACATTATAAATATGTGTGTGGGAGACCAATCCTCCCTCTGTTTAACCCCTGATGAGGGTTGAATCAACCAATTTTAATTTAATTTACTTTAATACAACTTTCAGTAGCACTGCAAAAGGAAACTACTGCCCCACATCCTTGTAGTTTAAATGCCACGGTGGCTCAGTTGTCAAAATCAAAAGCTTTTGTAAAGTCAATGAAAATAACAAATGTTGACTTATTGTCCTCTTTTCTATTCCTTAAATACACAATGCATAAATATAGTTAATAAAAGCTCTACATGCAAATTAAATAAAGTCAAACATTCAGATAAAATAAATACTGAAGCCTTAATATACATTTCAATATATGAGTAAATATCCAAGCTCTCCAAAGTAATGAATAGAACTAATGTGTAGAATCATCTGCCTTAACTCATTTCAATAGCACATAAGTTCAAAGCCACACTGAAGACATGTGCAGTATCGCTTTCTACCACCATATGGTGTAATGTGTGGTTATTCCTTAGAAAAGAGTGTCTGTGAACAGAAAGTCCCTTGTGGGATGTCACTTACTCCTGCTGACACTCTGTGTTATAGCCAGATAGCACATCATGATTTACACACTGGCTACGGTAAGTACAAATACAATCACTCCACAAATGTTGTTAAAACAGATGGTTATAGACTATAGGCTGTAGCACCCTCAGCAGCCTCTGTCACAGATGTGTCTACAAAGCAATAGGACTGAAGACCCAAATGCAGACACTGAGGCAGAACAGGTGGAAGAAGAACGACTTTACTAAATCAGTGTTCAATTTAACAGACTTAACTTTAAGCCTTGATGTCATTTAAACAGGTGAGTTATATAAAGATTCACCTCACTTATAGTTGTCATGAGTGGAGTATTTGTACTGCTTCTTGTACCAGGCTGTAAACACATTTACTTTACTGTTTGCAGCCACAGAGGTTGCTGCTTGCTTACCCCATGCACAGTCTGCAAGTGGGCAGGAAATAAGAACTATGCCCCATTTAAGCAGCAAGAAATACGCAACCTAATGCAAACACGTGAATACAGCTAAGAAGTGCTTCATTGTGACAGTGTGACTTTAAAAACAACATGGAGATGATTCTAAAGAGTGTAAGTGAATTGTACATTTCAAAGTCACAGCTTATTATCTTCAAATGTGTGACTGACATACATGATGAGCTATGAAACATATTCTAAATATAAACTTTTACACTTTAACTGTGGTGGAAGAAGTCTTATATTAATATTTTAAACACTGAGTAGAAGTAGTCAAAGCCCAGAAAGATAATTTAAATACTGCAGTTTAAAAGTCCCTGCCTTCATTTTAAGTCAATATAAAGCAGTATTAGCAGTGAAACATAGTTTGGTGGTTCTTATTTTGAATTATGAGTGTGAAGTGTTCAATGTGCTGACAGTGATGCAGAGTTTGATGTTGTAGCAGCTTGAGGTGGAGCTCAGAGTTTTACTTTTGGAGATTTAAGAACTATGCAGCATGTTTTTCTGTTTGTCTGTTGAAGGATTTCAACAGAAGGTTATTTTATTATATTTGTGACAAACTGACATGACTGTATGTCTCTAAAGCACATTGTGAGAGAGGTGGAGATAGAGTGAGTTGTTGTTTGTTGTTCTCTGCAGAGGATTTCCTGTATCTCATGTTAGGTATGGTCGTACTTCCTGAGTTCTTGTCTGGGCGAGATGTCTGGGCAACATCACGCTGTAAGTCAGAGTTTCTTTTTAAAGTAAAACTTGAATGTTAAATGTTGGATTTGTCATCATTTCATTCTTTGACTGTTATAACAATGTGCAGATTATTTTATGGACAAACTCTCTGTGTTGTTTATTGTGATATCATTATAGTCTATATAAAGTGGACTCACACTGTTACGTAGACACTGAGTCTGTATTTTTATATTGTTATCATTTATTTTACAAACCTTTTATTGAAAACTTTGAACTCTGAAAGATGAAGTGAAAGATTAAATATGTTTTTATCCTCCAACAGTGGAGGAGGAAGAACTCTAACAGTCAGTAAATGAAGCACTACCACAAAATACATAGTCCTTAATCAGTATTTTACTCATTTAATCAATAATCTACTTTCAGGATGAAGTACTATTAACAGTGAAAGGATAAATGTTACAGTTCTTTTCAATAATTAACAGTTAATTTCCTGTGAAAAGTTTGAGGAGTTAACATGTGAGGGCTTTAAAGGATGTATTTAGCTGCAGTGTAAGTGGCTGCAGTTTAGGTGGTGCACATGCATCCGGGGAAGTTACAGAAGCAAACAAAGTCGCCATTTCTGCGGTAGCATCTCCGAACAATATGTGCACGTTTGAACGCAAGCTGTCCTAAGACCAATTTTCTACTTTTTTTCTCTGTTTCTAGCTACTAACAAACGTTCAACTAATACTTAACTAACTCAATCTGAATACTGCTAAGAGGTCCATTCATCAGTAACTGGGGGCCACTGCCTGTCTTCAATCAAACTACCCACTCTCAGGATTACACTGCAGTAATGGCGGCGGCACTAGACAGATACTGAACAGCTTTGGATTAAAGCATTTTATAAATGCAGCCACAGAAGCAGATCATTATTGGTTATCGTATCAGCTGAAAAAAATCCATATCGATCATCCCTCATAAAAATGATGCAGTTACAGACACCAGTCAACTACATGATCAATTAATATATCAAACAATATATATATTTGTTTTCCTTATAAGACCTGAGAGAGAGTGATTAAGTCAGGATAGACACAAGAACTGACTTCCATATTATAACAAAAGGTAGCAAGCTAACTAAACAGCTAGTTGTCACATTGTGAGCTGCTGACTTCAAGCTGATGGACCCAAAGTAATTCCTAAAGTGCTTCTCCATCAATATATAATGTAAATGAACAGTATGTTTACACTTTGTTTGGCCACATACGTGATCTCTGCCTCAAAGTAACCCATCACACTCTGACTGCTTACACATGTGCATACAGGGGCACGCTGATGCCCACACAGTGCTCACTGGTGTTGCACTGGGGTAGTTAGCAGGAGAGAGAGAGGGTAAAAAAGACATGAGAGCAACAATAACCTCGACCTGATATTTGGAAACAATGAAGAGATTCAAAGAAAAAGACAGGAAAGGGGCACTTTCACTCTCAAAATGGCAGGTTGGTTCTTCAGCTGCCTTTGGGGTCTGTGTCTGCCTGACAGGAAGTCACATCACATGAGGAGCAAAACACAGTGCACATATAGTTCACTGAGACAGAAAGAAGACAGACAGTTCTACCCTGGTTGATCTCATTTTCCACGAAGTAAAGACATGTGTTTCAATTGTGTGGGTTTTTTTTTTAAACATTCAGATTAAGGGATTTTGTTTTTGTTTTTTATTGTCAAGAGTTCACAATGCCACCCAGTAATGGACTGCTCTTCAAGACCTTCAGTGTTTTGCTGCTAATACAGAACTGTGAAGGTAATTTCTGTAAATGTGTGTGTGTGTGTGTGTGTGTGTGTGTGTGTGTGTGTGTGTGTGTGTGTGTGTGTGTGTGTGTTGGAAAGCAGAAGACACAACTAAGTTTCTGATCCAAAAAACCTTCCAATCCCTTCTATCCATTTCTGTAACAACAACAAAAACCCAGGGACATTGTAATCATTCACATCAAAATTAATGCATTCATTATATGTTCTTGTGTCTTAAGGATTCGAGCTTAATACTAATGCTAATGCTAACATGCTCACAATGATAACAATTTAAAGCAGGTAGAACTTGTCCATCATCTTAGTTCAGCATGTTAGCATGCTTTTTAAATATTTGGTCATAAAGTATTGGACAAACTGAAAGTTTGACCTTTCAGAGACTCTGGAGGAAAAGTCAGAGGAATTCATTCTCTGGGAACCAGGAATATTTCTACAAGATATAATGGGAACTAAACAAAGTGACAGACTGATGATCATCATTGCCCCTAAAAACTCCAGTCAATGTAAATTTCTTTACAGAGAGTCAGCTGCTGTTTATATTCTCACTGCTGATGCTGTCTGATATTTGTGCTTGAAGCTCAAACTGTGATGAGTGTGAGTCAGATACAGACTCTGAGGCTCCAGCGGTCGATTGTCTTTGTTTTTGATGCAGTTTTATTAAATGTTTTCTTACTTTTAGAAAGTAAAAATGAATCCATTCAGTCTGATGACATGTATTATAACTATACTACTGTTTCTTGTTTGTTCTTTAGTTTGCGTTGCAGAGCAGTCAGAGTTGATTTGTTCACATCAACCAATCGTAGCCCTGGCTGGTGATGATGTCATTCTACCATGTTACCTTGATCCTCCAATCAGTGCCAGTTCTGAGACAGTGGTGTGGACCAGACCTGGTTTAGACCCAAAGTACATCCATTTTCACCAAGATGGACGACCTGCAAATCTATTTCAAAATCCATCTTATTATCTCAGAACGAGACTGTTTGTGGATGAACTGCAGAATGGAAACGTCTCCATGAAAATCTTCAGAGTGAAAATCTCTGATGCAGGAAAATACTTTTGCATCCTTCAATCAATGTTGAAGGAAGCTTCCATCCAACTCACTGTTGGTAAGTCAGACTTTCTGAAGATGATGAATTACACATTTCTGCTGACTGCAAAGATCAGTAATGTAACTTTATATTAGAAGTAAGCAGCCATGATAAGACACAAAGAAAACAGTGCTGTAAGTTATTTGTTGGATCTGAATCCACTGTTTGATATTCCTCCTCTCTTCTCATCAGGTGTCGTCTCCACTCCCATCATAGAGGTTGTCTCCAATAACAGTAGAAGAGTAGTTTTACAGTGTGAGTCTAAAGGCTGGTATCCAGAGCCTGAGGTGGTCTGGCTGGACGGTGAGGGAAACCTCCTCTCTGCTGGACCTACATAGCAGCAGAGTGACTGTGGAGAAGAGACACAGCAACAACTTCACCTGTAGAGTCCAACAGAAGGACATCAACCAGATCAGAGAGACACACTTCAATTTTATAGGTTATAAAGAGCTCTAAATATATTAAACATATTGTCACTGTTGAGCTCTAGTTTGATTCAATAATGTCATTCTGTTCTCTCTTCTATCTTTTCATCATTTATTCACAGTTCAGTCGTCTTTTTATCTGATTCTTTGGATCATCGGCACTCCTGTTTGCATTAATGTGCTGCTCATTATCACTCTGATAATATGTAAGTCACATATTTATTTTCCTTTTTATACCAAGTTCCTGTCAGAGCTCTTTATTGACATACATAAAGGCATAACAACAGTAACTAAGCAAACAGTCTGAAATGATCTTCACTGCAGGAAATTTGGGGAAAATGGAGGAAATAAAAGAAAATGTGTTGCTTTCAAAAACTTTCTCTCATTTGGAAATTTTCTGTTTATGAAAGTCACTGTGATATTCCAGTTCAATTATCATATTTTTGTTCTGATTGTGTAGTTTTCCCACTCATTCATTGATTAGACAAAAACACATTAGCAACTTCAACACTTTCCTGATTCTGTTGGTTCACAGGCATAAAGAAGTTCCCGAGTAATGAAATGTAACACAGAAGACACTTTAAAACACAGAGAGACGCAGCGTTGAACGATGTGGACTAAAAACCTCCTGTAGTGACCGAGAACGAGGAGGAAATCATTGTGACACTGGAGGATATTCTCCATCTTTTCCTACTTTACCATCTCGTGACAGAGAATATATGATGTTGTTTGCACAAACTCAAGAAAGACGTTGATGCAAGTTGTACCTGTTGTTCATATTGTTCATTTTTATGTTTTAATTGTCTGATTTAATTTGCCTCATTGTTGTCCTGAAATGTTTTAATGCTGGTTCAAACCATGCAAAGTACTTTATAACTTTGTTTTGAGTATAAATAAAGTTTCTTCTTCCCCTTCTTTTTATTATTATTATTATTATATTTCATAGTACACAATCAGTGGTATCTCACTCTCTGTTAGTAGTCCCAATTGAGTTACTTTACAAAAGTACAGAAGACAGACAGGTGCACAGCAACAACAGTATTGGCAATAGCAATCTAGCAGGACCATGGCAGGAGGCTCCACCAGGATCGATAAGAACCTGCGAGACGAGAAAGCACAAAAACTGCGGGGAAGAAGTGAAGTTAGTAACATGCATTAATGGGACATGAATGAGTGCAGAAAGAGAGAGGAAGAGAGGAGCTCAGTGCACCATGGGAAATCCCCCCGATAGTCTAGGCCTATAGCAGCATAACTAAGGGATGATTCAGGACTCACCTGATCCAGCCCTAACTATAAGCTTTATCAAAGAGGAACGTCTTAAGCCTACTCTTGTGGTGAGGTGTGTCTGCCTCCCGAACCACAACTGGAAGCTGATTCCACAGGAGAGGAGCTTGGTAACTGAAGGCTCTGGCTCCTGTTCTACTTTTAGAGACTATAGGAACCACAAGTAGCCCAGCATTCAGAGAACGTAGTGTTCTAGTGGGGTAATAGGGTACTATGAGCTCTTTAAGATATGAAGGGGCCTGACCATGAAGAGCTTTATAGGTGAGGAGGAGTATTTTAAATTCAATTCTACATTTTATAGGGAGCCAATGCAGAGTAGCTAGTACAGGAGAGATGTGATCTCTTTTTCTAGTTCCTGTCAGTACTCGTGCTGCAGCGTTCTGAATTAATTGGAGCGTTTTAATGGACTTATTGGGGCAACCTGATAATAAAGAGTTGCAGTAATCCAGCCTAGAAGTAACAAATGCATGGATTAGTTTTTCTGCATCTGTCTGTGATAGGATGTGTCTAATTTTTGTAATATTACATAAAAGGAAGGAGGCAGCCCTAGAGGTTTGCTTTATGTGGGAGTTAAATGGTAATCTGTTTCTTGTTTTGTTATTAGTTATTAGTTGATGTTTCTGATATGTCTGATACCATCCTAACCTCCCCACTGAATGGAATTTACTGTTGGAACAGATTTCTGGATCCTGTGTTTAAATGTGCACACCGCCATCAGATGTTCTGTGAGCCAACGCCACCATTACAATAGCATTTTCTCTTATGTCAAGTATTGGGAGGATGAGGAGTATGGGATTACATGTAATTAAGTGCCTGGCCATTAAAATGTTTGCACACAAAATAAATGTGTAAAAATCCAATGCATTGGTGTCTTGTTTAAAGTAAGAGACTCAAAATAAGAGACAATTTAAGTCAAAAAATTTCCATAAAGAAATAAAAATGTTGGTTATATATTTTATTTGTGGTTTCATGTTTCATGTTTGAATTAATTTTTTTTGTGTGGTTAAAACAAAAGGGTGAAATGACAAGAACAACAAAGGACAAGCCAGCTTCCACCCTTTTTTGTTTTTGTTTTTTAAAATTAAACACAGTCACACAAGCCTTTAAACACTGTGTGGAGGAAGGAACTGCATGTATTATCTGGAAAGGTCCACCAGAGGGTGCCGTCGAGACCTTGTACAAAGCTGTTCACACATGAGTGCAGAGAGAGGCTTTGAAACAGCCAAAGCTCTCCTGGCCTGCTGTTAAAGCTGAAACTGTGTCATTGCTCCATGGATACGCTTTGTTTCTACGTGGATGCAACAATGTCTGTCCTTTTTAAACTGAGAGAAAGGTTCAGAAGCATGGGAATGATTGTTAGAGCGAGTGGTATAGCCCACAAGACAGGTGGGTTGTTTTTGTATAGACCGACATAGAGGGCTAACATAATGCTTTAGTAGTTACTGAGTATTTATTATTTGTGCCCCTTATTGCACAGATGTAATCTCCACAGTCTTATCTTCTGATAAACCCAGAAAGTGTCAGCCACTGTCAACAACAGTTGTTTCCCAGAAGTGAATGGTAGATGTGGAAACTGCTGGACCATAGTTAACCCATAATTACCTTTCCACTACCTGTAAACTACCACAAACAGGTGGAACAGAATCAATGGACCGTATCAGCCAATATCACTTACTGTTGAATCACAACTCTCTCCTCCATCTGCATCACTGCCACTCCTCACTGAACCACTCCCCCAAGATTATATATCTCCCCCCTTCAGATCTGACCTTTTCACCTTTTAAATATTATTTGGTTAATGGTGGTATATGTTGTTTGAACTGATTATTAGGTATCAGTAACTGTATTGGATTACACTTTTTAGGTCGGCTGCCCCTCCCAACCCTGCTCTTTATTGGCTACTTCCTCATTTTATATCAGAGAGGAAGAGAACAATAAAGTCAGTGAGAACCAACATCACAGTGGAGAGTTTGCATCCATCAATCTGCAGGTAAGAGTTCATTTTTTAAAGTAAAACTTGAATAGGTTAAACATTGGATATGTGATAATTTCATAATCTTTGACCATTACAACAATGTGCAGATTATTTTATGGAGAAATGTTCTGTGTTGTTTATGTCGAGGGATAATTCCCAACTGGGGACGTTTGCCTCCATGAAGTCCATTAATTCCTGATTATTGACACCTGGAAGGACATTATCCCTCTTATACCATGAATTTACTGAAGAAAAACAAATAAGATCAATACTTTGTGTTTAAATTAATGTAATGTAACTTAGAACTACCGTCTACTCAACTGGAAAAACAACCTGCGCTGTTTTGGTTAATGCAAATTATGTGCTGTATCTCTTTTACCTGCCGAGATCAGCAGCAGCTGATTTGACTGAACTTGTCACCACAATATCCCCAGACTCTCTTAGAAAATCTCACAATGTTAGAGTTATTGAGTGAGGAGAAACTTTGTGAAACAGTTTCTATGACATAAATTATATGGGCCTTCTCTTTATTATTTTTATTCCATTCTTTGTAAACAAAAAGACATCACCATAGCAACATCATTGTGTGTGTTTGGTTTTACTTTCCTGTCATTCAGTGAACTGTTTGTTTTTCCCAGTGCTGTGGGGAAGCAGATGTCCATCTACCTTCTTCCTGAATTGTTTTTAGTTAGAGTTATTGTCATCAGATTCTTTATTGAAAGATCTGGTTTAAGTGTTGTTCTAAAAAACACATTGCCGACACTGATCCAGTAAAAGTTACAGTAAAACATCTGGAATAAAGGATGATCATTTAAGTTTTATCGATAAATGAACAAAGAAATTGCTTCTATTAAAATTAAATTCAACTGTTGATTAGCCATATATTTATCTCTCTATGGTAGATATTACTAAACAAAGCAGAAGGCCTATCAAGAGCCTCCTCTGTCTTTGCCATCAGTACACTATCATCCTATCCTATCATTCAGGGACAATGACAAGACTGATTACCATCTTGTCTTGTTGTTAAACATAATGTCCAACTATATTCACTGTTAGTTGACCGTACGCAGTGTTATTGACTTTGAATGTTGCTAGAATAAAGTTATGTCTCTGCCTCACTGAGCCAAAGCGCTCTCTGAGCTATGAGACAAAGAAAAACTGAAATCAACTGTAGAGTTTCCACCCTGTTCAACCTCATTTTCCACTAAAGACATTTGGTTTACTTGTGTTTATTTAAACTACCAGTCAAAGGCTATTGTCTGTTATTGGTTATCAGGAGTCTTCAATGCTGTATCCAAAGATAGAGCTCTGTGATGGACTGTCCTTTGGGACCTGCAGTGTTTTGCTCTTCATTATTCTTCTAACACAGTGTTTAACAGGTAATTTACACACACACTGCCAGCTCTGTGAGGCTATGTGGTCTGAGCTTGATTCAACTCAGTTTTCAACTCAGTTTTATTTGTTTAGCACCAAATCATTACAGAATTTATCTCAGGTTCTACTTTTATAACTATTTACAGAGACACAACAGTTCCCACCATGAGCCAGCACTTGGTGACATTGGCATGGAAAAACGTCCTTTTAACAGGCAGAAACCTCAAGCAGACCCCGACTCTAAGGGGGCGGCAGTCTGCCTTGACTGGTTGGGGTTACAGAGAGAGAGAGAGGGAGAGGGTTGGAGGTGGTTTTCTGTTAGTGATGTACAATAGGCTCCTCTGGCATTACAAAGGGCCTTTCTTTATGTTCTTTACGCAGGATTTGTGGTTCTATCTTTAAACTCAACTCAACTACATTTGTGTGGCCCTGATTCTCTACTGTAACATACTGACTGAGAAAAAAGAATTAGAGAATCAAAAAGCTTTTCTTTGTTTTTGATGCAGTTTTATTAAATGTTTTCTTACTTTTAGAAAGTAAAATGAATCCATTCAGTCTGATGACATGTATTATAACTATACTACTGTTTCTTGTTTGTTCTTTAGTTTGCGTTGCAGAGCAGTCAGAGTTGATTTGTTCACATCAACCAATTGTAGCCCTGGCTGGTGATGATGTCATTCTACCATGTTACCTTGATCCTCCAATCAGTGCCAGTTCTGAGACAGTGGAGTGGACCAAACCTGGTTTAGATCCAAAGTACATCCATGTTCACCAAGATGGACGACTGATGTTTGATTATCAAAATCCATCTTATTTTTACCGAACGAGACTGTTTGTGGATGAACTGCAGAATGGAAACGTCTCCATGAAAATCTTCAAAGTGAAAATCTCTGATGCAGGAAAATACTTTTGCTTCCTTCAATCAATGCAAAAGAAAGCTTCCATCCAACTCACTGTTGGTAAGTCAGACTTTCTGAAGATGATGAATTACACATTTCTGCTGACTGCAAAGATCAGTAATGTAACTTTATATTAGAAGTAAGCAGCCATGATAAGACACAAAGAAAACAGTGCTGTAAGTTATTTGTTGGATCTGAATCCACTGTTTAAAATTCCTCCTCTCTTCTCATCAGGTGTCGTCTCCACTCCCATCATAGAGGTTGTCTCCAATAACAGTAGAAGAGTAGTTTTACAGTGTGAGTCTAAAGGCTGGTATCCAGAGCCTGAGGTGGTCTGGCTGGACGGTGAGGGAAACCTCCTCTCTGCTGGACCTACAGAGACAGTCAGAGGTCCTGATGACCTCTATACTGTCAGCAGCAGAGTGACTGTGGAGAAGAGACACAGCAACAACTTCACCTGTAGAGTCCAACAGAAGGACATCAACCAGACCAGAGAGACACACATCTATGTTCCAGGTTATAAAGAGCTCTAAATATATGAAACATATTGTCACTGTTGAGCTCTAGTTTGATTCAATAATGTCATTCTGTTTTCTCTTCTATCTTTTCATCTGGTTTATCCACAGTTCTGTCATTTTTTATTTGATTTTTTGGAGTATCATCATTCCTGTTTGCATTGTTGTGCTGCTCATTATCACCTTCATAATATGTAAGTCACATATTTATTTTCCTTTTTTATACCAGGTTACTGTCAGAGCTCTTTATTGACATACATACAGGCATAACAACAATAACTAAGCAAGCAATCTGAAATGATCTTCACTGCAGGAAATTTGGTGAAAATGGAGGAAATAAAAGAAAATGTGTTGCGTTCAAAAGCTTTCTCTCATTTGGAAATGTTCTGTTTATGACAGTCACTGTGATGTTGAAAATAACTAACTTTCATATTGTTCTTCTGCTTGAACACAACAACTTCAACACTTTCCTGTTTCTGTTGGCTCACAGGTATAAAGAAGATCCTGAGGACTGGAATTAAACTAGAAGGAGATGTAACACATGGTGTGAAAGAGGAACTGTTAATGGTCGAAGTAAAGCCAAAAGTCCAGAAGCATAATGTAAATATGAATGCAGCTCAACTCCAGCCCTTAGTGGAGGGAAATCAGCAACAGGAGGACCAGAGAGAGCAACTGGACAGAGTTCAGAGATCACAGACAGAGGAAACATCAGGAGCAGGAAATAACACTGGAGACACTTTAAAACACAGAGAGACGCAGCGTTGAACGACGTGGACTAAAAACCTCCTGTAGTGACCGAGAACGAGGAGGAAATCATTGTGACACTGGAGGATATTCTCCATCTTTTCCTGCTCTACCATCACACTGACAGAGAATGATGATGTTGTTTGTCTTCCTAGTGTTGCATGTTTTGCATTATAAAGGTAATCTGGTTTTAAGAATAACAATCTAACTTTGTCTTTATAAGATATTACAGAAAATATTCAGCTTGATTTAACCAGTAGCAACAATAGTTTGAATAATATCCCAGCAGAGGAACCAGATTATTGTCTTTATTTTAAGAGTAAGACCATTTGAACAACTTCTCACTTTAAGAGAAAGTCGATTGGTCCCAGTGTTGGAAATGAAGCAGCTGTTTAAATTTCATTGTTTTAATAAAAACTAATAAAAATAAGAATATTTCTGGTTCCTTCATTTAAGACAAAGTCACTTATTTGTATTTTGCTGTTTGAAGAAATCCTGTTTTATTGTAACATTTGTTTTTGCTAATTATCAATTAATTCTTGAATTCAAATTCAAATACTTATTTTGAGAAAGTCTGTTTTAAATAACTGAGTTTTTTTTGCTTATAATAAACCTGCTGTAGGTCCATTACAGTCTGTATAAATGAGCTGACTTGTGCATTCAAATAGTTAAAGTGTGGGAGACCAAACCTCCCTCTGTTTAACCCCTGATGAGGGTTGAATCAATGAAAGGTCCAGTGTGTAACATTGAGGAGGATCTACTGGCACAAATGGAAGATAATAACTATGTTTTCATTAGTGTATAATCACCTGAAAATAAGAATCAAACCAACATTCAGGCTCTAAAATACAGGAGGTTTTACATTTTATATTTATCAGAGATTCTGACATCAAAGTTTGAATCTAAAGTGATTTTGTTTGTTCTGTACAGTCGACATCTATTGCTGTCTGTCCGTCTGTCCTGGGAGAAGGATCCCTCCTCTATGGATCCTTCTGAGATTGCTTCCATTTTCTCCTGTTAAAATGTTTTTTGAGGTGTTTTTCCTTATATTACTTGAACTGAGGGTCTAAGGCAGGACTACCAAAATAAAACTTGTGCTATAAGATGCAAAATGGTAAGAGGAAGTTCCCTTAACTGGCTGACTTTCTGTGCAGTGTCACTCTGCACGCTGTGACATAAGAAAAAAACAGCATGAAAAGCGATTTCTATTATAATTATTTTAAAACCATTTTAAATATTTTTTGACTTGACACATCTGGTTTGATGTAAAAGGCCAGGTGGAGCATAATATATCAGTAACTCATGTTTCATTCATTGTAAAGATTGTAAATGAGAAGATTCAGAATGACAATGATAAACTGACTATCACCATGGGCGTTGGATCAGGATGCAGGAATAAGACAGAAAACTTCAACCCTCTGAACAAAGTTCATTTTCTCCAAAACTCAAAGTTGCATTGTGAAGGTTGCAAACGTAAAATTAGAACTGTCACATGGTCATCTTAAATAAATCAGGATAAATAAAGTTCTCAGTTAAAGTAACATGAACACATAAGAACTAAAGAATAAGACAACCTCCTCTTACCAGAACTGCTGGCACATGCACCAATCAGAGCCTTTAAATCAGGAGTGATCAGGTGAACTCAGTCCAGTTAATGTGGAGTGATAACGTGAGCCAATCAGTAATCAGGTCAAGAAAAAGGAAAATAAAGTTTATGACAAAGAAGTTTTGTATTATTACTGTGAACTGGTGATGATATCAGGGGTTTCATGTATTTACAGCTGTGGCTGTTAACTCAGTGTGTCTGTAGTCAGACATATGAACACACAAACTGTGTTTTAGGCTTAAAAAGCACAAAGACAACATTGTTCATGGAGCCTCAAACTCTAAAAGCCACAAGACCTAAACTGTACGTTAATATGAAGTCATAACACACGTTATCTGACTCAGAGCGGATGTGAAAGTACACGTTGTTTATCGGACCGTGCAGGTACTCTCAGTTGAGGATCCCTGACACACACGTACAACAATGTAGGATTTTTACATGAAACTCTTAATACATTATTTTAGTGATTCTTTTTTTATAGTGTGTTTCTAGATTAAGTCAACAATCTTCTGCAGTATTGTGTCATACATGTGGCTACAGTAGTGGATGCTATGGTAATGTATTTGTGTCTTAACTGCAATGTTTGACGAATAAACAATAAAATCACATTGTTCAGGAGTTTATATAAACAACAAAACCACCACTGGGTTCAACAAACAACAACAATTACAATCAGTGATTCCATTGTCTTCAAGAAAGTCTGAGACTCAGCTCAGTGGGTGTTATGTTATGTCGGACTTTTTAGATGGGTTGAATTGAGTCGACTTACTTACTCAGATGATTCACAAACTCATCTTGAAACCTGAGCTCAGTGACTTCAGTGCACATTGATCTTTTCTCACACTGTCACTCTTTCACCAAACACTCTTCTGGAGGTGAATTACACACAAACACATGAAGATAAATCACACTATAATGGTCTTGTGAGGACATCTACAAAAACACACTATCCAATAACTGTTTTATTATTTTTGTTGTACTGCACATTAACTGTGTTATTGTGCTGTAATTTACCAGCAGTATAACTGGTATGAGTTTGTCATATGCAAACATCTGAGGAATGGATTGCAGCCCATTTCACCACAGCTTTATATGAAAACTACTCTAACAATCTGGTTATTAGTCATTCAGTCAATGTTCAGTTACATCCACTGGTTAAAAAATACTGACTGAATTTATGAGCAACTCTTTAGAGACCAACAGAGACACAAACTCACAGACTCAGAGAGGTGGAGATAAATTGAGGTTGTGATTTTCTGAAACTTCCTGTCACACACACAGTGGAGAGTTTGCATCCATCACGCTGTAAGTCAGAGTTTCTTTTTAAAGTAAAACTTGAATGTTAAATGTTGGATTTGTCATCATTTCATTCTTTCACTGTTATAACAATGTGCAGATTAATTTATGGACAAATTCTCTGTGTTGTTTATTGTGATATCATTATAGTCTAAATAAACACTGAGTCTGTATTTTTATATTGCTGTCGTTTATTTTACTCACTTTTTATTGAAAGCTTTGAACTCTACCTACCTCTCACTACCACAAAATACATAGTCCTTAATCAGTATTTTACTCATTTAATCAATAATCTACTTTCAGGATGAAGTACTATTAACAGTTAAAGGATAAATGTTACAGTTCTTTTCAATAATTAACAGTTAATTTCCTGTGAAATGATTGAGGAGTTAACATGTGAGGGCAGTTTGATGCTTTAAAGGATGTATTTAGATACACAGTCCATCTTAATACAAACATACATTGAAAGAGTTATTGATCACCTTTTCCTGAAGTGATGCTCATTGGACAAATCTTTTTATCATGAAATTCAAACAGTGATATTCTTAAAACAGACAAAATGTCTCCAAATATACAAACAGACTGTACAGGAGAAGAAGAACAGAAAAAGTAAAACACATAACTTCAGACATTATTTGACTTATTTCCACCAGTACATCTGTGGTCAGACAACATGTCACTTTGTCTGTGGATTAGTTATATCTGTTAGTCAGTCACAGCACATAAGGAGCTGAAAACAACAGATCACACTGATGCACTGAGACAGAAATAAAAGAAACTGAAACCAAATAAAAACTAAAATCAGCTCTAGAGTTTTTACCCTGTTCAACCTCAATGAAGACGTTTGTTTTATTTGTGTGTTTTCAAGAAGCAGACTAAAGGTTTTTGTCTTTCTTTATATTTTCAGAAGTCTACGATGCTGTATCCACTGCCATGTACCGGCATTGTTTTGTTTTACATTTTTCTTCTAATACAGTGTTTCACAGGTAATTTCATACAAAACACTCCAGTAACACATTCATATGTGTGTGTGTGTGTGTGTGTGTGTGTGTGTGTGTGTGTGTGTGTGTGTGTGTGTGTGTGTGGGTGTGTAGTTGTGTACTTAATACCGGTACTGTAAAGTTTTTACACACACAAACACACATATATACAATTTCCCCAGTGTGGGATCAATAAAGTCAATCTTATCTTGTTCCTGTACTCGCTGATACACGACTGCCATTCAAATGATGGTAGAGTCACATTTTATTCACACGCTCTGTGAGTTGTTGAGTTAGACATGAGGTCACATATTGACTGAGAAAATCAATAAATCAAATAAAAAATTAGAAAGAGGACAAAACAGACATTTTTAAACTTTACACTTTATGCTGCTGTCTGATATTTGTGATTGAAGCTCAAACTGTGATGAGTGTGAGTTAGATACAGACTCTGAGGCTCCAGCGGTCGATTGTCTTTGTTTTTGATGCAGTTTTATTAAATGTTTTCTTACTTTTAGAAAGTAAAAATGAATCCATTCAGTCTGATGACATGTATTATAACTATACTACTGTTTCTTGTTTGTTCTTTAGTTTGCGTTGCAGAGCAGTCAGAGTTGATTTGTTCAGATCAACCAATCGTAGCCCTGGCTGGTGATGATGTCATTCTACCATGTTACCTTGATCCTCCAATCAGTGCCAGTTCTGAGATAGTGGAGTGGACCAGACCTGGTTTAGACCCAAAGTACATCCATTTTCACCAAGATGGACGACTGATGTTTGAAACTCAAAATCCATCTTATTTTCTCCGAACGAGACTGTTTGTGGATGAACTGCAGAATGGAAACGTCTCCATGAAAATCTTCAAAGTGAAAGTCTCTGATGCAGGAAAATACTTTTGCTTCCTTGAATCAATGTTGAAGGAAGCTTCCATCCAACTCACTGTTGGTAAGTCAGACTTTCTGAAGATGATGAATTACACATTTCTGCTGACTGCAAAGATCAGTAATGTAACTTTATATTATAAGTAAGCAGCCATGATAAGACACAAAGAAAACAGTGCTATAAGTTATTTGTTGGATCTGAATCCACTGTTTGAAATTCCTCCTCTCTTCTCATCAGGTGTCGTCTCCACTCCCATCATAGAGGTTGTCTCCAATAACAGTAGAAGTGTAGTTTTACAGTGTGAGTCTAAAGGCTGGTATCCAGAGCCTGAGGTGGTCTGGCTGGACGGTGAGGGAAACCTCCTCTCTGCTGGACCTACAGAGACAGTCAGAGGTCCTGATGACCTCTATACTGTCAGCAGCAGAGTGACTGTGGAGAAGAGACACAGCAACAACTTCACCTGTAGAGTCCAACAGAAGGACATCAACCAGACCAGAGAGACACACATCTATGTTCCAGGTTATAAAGAGCTCTAAATATATTAAACATATTGTCACTGTTGAGCTATAGTTTGATTCAATAATGTCAATTCTGTTCTCTGTTCTATCTTTTCAGCTTATTCATTCACAGTTCAGTTATCTCCTGATTGGATTCTGATTATCACCACTCCTGTTTGCATTGTTGTGCTGTTATCACCCAGATAAAACGTAAGTCACATATTTATTTTCCTTTTTTATTCCAAGTTAATGTCAGAGCTATTTATTGACATACATACAGGCATAACGACATTAACTAAGCAAACAAAAATGGAATTGAATTGAATCTGAAATTATCTTCACTGCAGGAAATTTGGGGAAAATATAGGAAATAAAAGAAAATGTGTTAAAAATATTCCAGTTCAATTATCATATTTTTGTTCTGCTTGTGTAGTTTTCTCACTTTAACACTCATTCATTGATTAGACAAAAACACATGAACACAACAACTTCAACACTTTCCTGTTTCTGTTGGTTCACAGGCACAAAGTGGATCCTGAGGAATTTAATTAAACTGGAAGGAGATGTAACACATGGTGTGAAAGAGGCAATGTTAATGCTTGAAGGAAAGCCAAAAGTCCAGAAGCATAATGTAAATGTGAATGCAGCTCAACCTTTAGTGGATGGAACAGGAGGACCAGAGAGAGCAACTGGACAGAGTTCAGAGGTCGCAGTCAGAGGAAACATCAGGAGCAGGAAATAACACTGAAGACACTTTAAAACACAGAGAGACGCAGCGTTGAACGACGTGGACTAAAAAGCTTGTGAAGGGTCTGAGAACGAGGAGGAAATCATTGTGACACTGGAGGATATTCTCCATCTTTTCCTGGTCTACCAGCAGCATAACTTCCGTATATGCAGGTGATGCAGTTGCACAGGGGCCCACAGCAGTTCAGGGCCCATAACAAACCACTGGTATCTGCAACGCTGCTATAATATTGATTGACGTGAGCTGAACCGACATCATGTGCAGCCGATGAATTTCCTGTTCATCCTGTACATTCTCCCCCTTGGTAACCTCATACGTCGTCATGGTCTCTGCATCCACTGTTATGCTGATGATGTCAGGCTCTACATCTCCACTTAATCCATAACCAACACAGCCCAATCCACTCTGACACACTGCCTGACTCAAACTCAACTGTGACACATCTGAAATAATCTTCATCGGTCCAAAATCCTTCATCTTAAAACAGAAACAACTTCTGCTTCACCATTGACAGCACCACACTGTCTCCCTCCAACAGCAACCTCTCCTTTGAACACCACATCAACCAAATCCCCAGAACTGCCTTCTTCTACCTGGAAAAACTAGACTATTGGAACAGGATCTTGTATGGTACATCCTTCAAAGTCTTAAAGAAACTTCAGTACATCCAGGGTTAGGGTTAGGAAACTAATCATTCATACACACTCATAGCAAAATGAGGTTTCAGTGTCTTGCTCAGGGACACTTCAACATGCAGTGAGAGGAGCCAGGGATTGAACTGCCAGCCTTCCGATTAGTGGAACGACTCACTCTACCTCTGAGCCACAGCCGCCCTGCAAAGCCTCTGCTCTTCTGACACCAGCCTCCTGTCTCCACCACTGAGGACCAAGCACGGTCCCTGGGGTGAGCTGCCCCCTTCCATCTGGGACTCTCCCCAGAAATATCCGAGACTGTACCAATCCGTCCACTTTAAAAGCACTGATCAAAACCCACCTGTTCAGAACTGCCTTTAATGTTTGATTCATTGTTGAGTGTTGTGTATAGATGGATAGATCTATATACACACATTTCAAATAGAAACTTCTGTTTATACTTTAGTTTGACTGAATACTGAGACATCTGCATCCACCTTGCCCAATATGTCCAGCTAATCAACATTTAAATGCAATATCTGATCAATAATTTCACATTGCAGAGCTGTAACTAAACTTGACAGTGAGACTAGACAATTATTATCTTATTTTGAATTGATGTGTCTGTGAGGACTGCAGTCACCCCCATATATCACCAGGACTGATTCCAGACCTGTTATGGCTGTGTGAGTTCTCAGTTGACAGCAGGGAGTGGAAGAACCGGCTCTGTGGGTGAGGGCACTGACATTGAACAACTTTACCTGTAATGTGCAGGGTGAGGGTGGTGGCTGTGCTTTTGTTGGCTACTGCTTTCTGTTAAATAGATGTGATTACTTTAATTGTGAGTTCATTCATGCACATTGTTTTAGGTTTTTTAACACCTTTTTTGGATCTTAATGAGTCTTTTGTTAAGTGCGTCACAAGATCTCAGCGACTTTCAATCTTTGTTGTCCTGATTTCTCGACAATATCTGTAACAGATCATCATCAGAGGACTCTGACACAGACGGAGTTTGTGGTTCTTATTGCGGAGGGTTTTCACGAATTTACAGTTAACTCTTTCTGTAGTCAGACAGCTGACAGAGTACTTTATTTATGTCATAGAGAACAAACATCACAGTGGAGGGTTTGCTTTCCTCATTCTGCAGGTAAGAGTCATTTAAAACTTAAAGATTAAATGTGTTAAATTAAATGTTCTATGTTGTTTCTGTTGAGGGATAATACCAGACGAGGTGCATTTGCCTCCATGAAGTCCATTAATTCCTGATTATGGACTAATGGAAGATAGATACTTTATTCATCCCCAAGGGGAAATTTACAAGGGACGGGTCCAGGTGTGTGTATGCTTGGCTTTCAGGAGCCCTTATTGCCTAACCAGGAAATTAAGATTGTGACTACTTCAAACCTATGACATTCATCTGTTGGTGACTTTTGAAACACTGCAATAGAAACACTTTGCTGGGACATTCATTTTGGTTTCTGCTCCTCACTACGAAACTATTATTCGCTGTCATGGTGACAGTTTATAAAGGCAACCACGCGCACTAACGGAGTACACTCGAGTTTGAATGAATAGATGATATTCCCCTGCGTGAGATGGCGGGTTCAAGTCAGTAGGTTCTCCTGCATTTTCCAGATTCACAGGGCTCTCAAATGTGTAAATGAGTTCAAAGCAAGCACTATAGGGAATGGCAATGTATGTGACAAAACACTGCAAACGTCAATAGAAGGTCCAAAATACTCATGTTATCGGTCTTATGTCATGGTTGTTTTTAATGTTTGTAATTACACCCAGCCTATAAATGAATCAGTCTGAGGTATGAGATTAATGTGTGCACTATCTGTGTTTACCACAGTTTATCTCACTCATCATCACACAGATAGTCTACAAAATTCAGCAGTTTAGTCTACATATGCACGTCACAACTTTGTGAAGTCTCTCCCTCCCTCTCCCATCTTAATCTTTTCCTTTAATTGGCCCGTCTCAGATATGGCTTTTTCTTTGAGACTCTGCCTAGAAGGCCAGCATCCTGAAGTCGTCTCTTTGCTGTTGATGTAGAGACTGGTGTTTTGCGGGTACCATTTAATGATGTTTCCAGTTGAGGACCTGTGAGGCGTCTGTTTCTCAGACTAGAGACTCTAATGTACTTGTCCTCTTCCTCAGTTGTGCACTGGGGCCTCCCACTTCTCTATAGTGGAATGACATTTCTAAGTGACCCCAAATCCTATAAAATATCCTAACAAAATGTCTGTCATCTGTTTTTGACCTTGTCCTGTCTCAGTCTACGCTGAGTCTCTCTCCCCCTTTAAAAGTGTCCTGCAGCGTTTAGTGCTTCAGTGCATCCTTTACCTTAATAAATTATTCTTATTTGAAGTGTTATTGACTGTGACATTAGCTCTCTATCCAAATGAGCTATGAGACAGTGAAACCAAAGACAAACTAAAATCAACTCTAGTTTCTGCCCTGTTCAACCTTATTTTCCACTAAAAGACATTTGACTTATTTGTGTGTTGTTTTTAAACTACCAGACTTTTTTTATCTTCAGATGCTGCTCATTGGACAGTTCTTCAGGACCCACATTCCTGTGCTTATTATCATTCTTCTAATACAGAGTTTAACAGGTAGTTTCTACATTAATAATTAGAAAAAACTAATTTTAGTTGTTGAGACATTTCACATTGAACTAAGGTCAATAGATTTAACTCTCTGGGAAACTCTGTGAAGAACATTTAATGAGATCCAATGCAATATTTCCAACCTGATACAGAACATTTTATTCACAGTCTCCCTCTTCAGTTACACATAATGTCACATATCGACTGAGGGAAAAAAAACTGTAGTCAACAAGAAAAAATTAGAAAGAGACAAAAAGACTTCATCCACAAACATTTTAACAGTGTTTTCTTTGTTTTTGATGCAGTTTTATTAAATGTGTTCTTACTTTTAGAAAGTAAAAATAAATCCATTCAGTCTGATGACATGTATTATAACTATACTACTGTTTCTTGTTTGTTCTTTAGTTTGCGTTGCAGAGCAGTCAGAGTTGATTTGTTCACATCAACCAATCGTAGCCCTGGCTGGTGATGATGTCATTCTACCACGTTACCTTGATCCTCCAATCAGTGCCAGTTCTGAGTCTGGGTCTGGCTGGACGGTGAGGGAAACCTCCTCTCTGCTGGACCTACAGAGACAGTCAGAGGTCCTGATGACCTCTATACTGTCAGCAGCAGAGTGACTGTGGAGAAGAGACACAGCAACAACTTCACCTGTAGAGTCCAACAGAAGGACATCAACCAGACCAGAGAGACACACATCTATGTTCCAGGTTATAAAGAGCTCTAAATATATTAAACATATTGTCACTGTTGAGCTCTAGTTTGATTCAATAATGTCATTCTGTTCTCTCTTCTATCTTTTCAGCTTATTCATTCACAGTTCAGTCGTCTCCTGATTTGATTCTGATTATCACCACTCCTGTTTGCATTGTTGATTTATTCACAGTTCTGTGGTCTTTTTATTAGATTTTTTGGATCATCATCATTCCTGTTTGTATTAATGTGCTGCAAGTTCCTGTCAGAGCTCTTTATTGACATACATACAGGCATAACAACAGTAACTAAGCAAACAGTCTGAAATGATCTTCACTGCAGGAAATTTGGGGAAAATGGAGGAAATAAAAGAAAATGTGTTGCTTTCAAAAGCTTTCTCTCATTTGGAAATGTTCTGTTTATGAAAGTCACTGTGATGTTAAAAAATATTCCAGTTCAATTATCATATTTTTGTTCTGCTTGTGTCGTTTTCTCACTTTAACACTCATTCATTGATTAGACAAAAACACATGAACACAACAACTTCAACACTTTCCTGTTTCTGTTTGAACACAGACAGAAAGAGGAAGCAGAAGAATGAATAAAGGTCCCAAAGAGGCAAATTATACTAATACAACAGTTTTTTCTTGCTTTTCATCTTTGAGGCAACATCCAGAGAGACTCTGTATCAATCAGTGTAATCCATTTTACACATAATGATCATTAAGAAACAAAAACATCCTTCAGTCTGCACTGGATGTCAGACAGTTTGTAGCATTGAATGAAAATTTATTTTAACTAAAGAAGTTAATGTAAGGTTTAAAAATCGGACAGTAAAATATGATTATATGAGTTATTTAAAACTTTGAATGGGTCGATTAGGTTGTATGTAATATCTCTTCATGGGGCCCCTGTGAACAGACAAATAATGAACTCAGTAACAAATGTGCTGCAGCCTAACATTAACTCAAAGTGACTGAACTACTTACATAATAAAAAAATAAAAACTCATGAAGCTCATGTTGTCCTTTTTTAAACACTTTATTTATATATTATCAGTTTACAGAACAAATTCAAACATTAGCAGACATTAGTCCAAATTCTATAAAGGGGGAATTAATTGCTCAGCTTAATACAGTGTGTGTGTGTGTGTGTGTGTGTGTGTGTGTGTGTGTGTGTGTGTGTGTGTGTGTGTGTGTGTGTGTGTGTCAGTATGTTGGAAAAGGCACTGAGGCGTCTTTGGTCAACTTCATATCAGCTTATAAATACAATAATACAAAGATTCAAGTGTTATAGAGACGTCAGCAGACTTAAATTAACGGAGTAACTGATTACTATCCACCAACTGTTCATCAGTTTAGTGTTCAAACACTTTCCTCAAGTAAAACCAACCAACTGCAGTAATCCAGACAACTTCACAGGCACTGATGAATACCAGTGTAACATTTCATAGCTTCCTGTGTGAAACGGGTTGAAATGACTTACAGGTTACATCTCAACAGGAAACAAATCCCTACAGATTTCCCAACTTCCAGCATTAAATAAAGACATTAGGTCTGTGGTTCCCAACTGTAAGCACAGTCAACCTATAGTTTATGTTTATATAATGAACACAGGAGGCCTATTTCTCAGCATCTCATTATTCTCTGTGAGGAAAACTATTAGTTTTTAGATTATTATTTAAGATGTAAACTTTGAGCTGATCACAAGCTGCAAATATAACCTCCACTCTCTATTAAACACAGAGTCTCTGCATTAGAAAAGTCAACAGTTAAAACAACCAAAGAGCTAAAATCTCTCATGTAATATTCACAGGAAATAATCTGCTCAAATTCATCCAAATCACTTGTTTTACACAATATGAGATCCATAAAATACGTCACTTAGTCAGGGGTCGACAGTTTACTCAGTGATAGAAAAGGAGTCCCAGAACTGACTCACACTGTCATTAAAAACAGATCTGTTCCTTCCAGTGTGCAAAACAAGACATAAAGTGCCCTCTAGTGTCCTAGCTAAGCTCTTTCACTATAAATGCATCATGAATTTCTAAGCACTGGTGCCTCACTACCTTATTCCTGGTGGTTGGAATGGATGGGAACGGGGGAGTCTTGGATCCTCCAGCCTCGTTCCTCCGGTGGTAGCGAGTTTCCCATCTATTCCTGAACCCAGTGGTACACTCTGAGGCTATGAAACATGCTGAAGATGCTGAAGATGAATTCACTATATCAGACTAAAGGTCAGAACGTTTGGGGTCATATTCAAGTAGTTTTGTCTGGCAGTCTTTGGTCCTTCAATATATATTCAACAGTAGCAGTAACGGTTTCAGATTAGCTTTAGAATATATTCCTCTATACTATATTAATATATACTCTTATATATATGAAAATGACTGGCAAGATGACTTCCACTTTCCTCTCTGAGAACACAATCACATCCCTCCTGGATTAACTTGACAGCTGGTGAAACATCTGTGCTTTCATGCTTTACATCCACACTGATGCAAACAGCAGCTGGAGATAATCACATATTCTTGGCACAGACGAAGTTCTTCTCCTTGGAGCAGCGTACCGCACTGAACCATGGCTCATCTGGAGACAAGAAAAGATACAACAGAAGACATCAGGAGTTACATTGGGGGGAAAAACTCTTTATGTTAATAAAGCAAACAAAAAAAGTTTGGTGTAAATGTCTTTACCTCCAACCTTCAAGATGATGCAGGGGTCTTTTCCACGGTACTTGTTAACACGGAACCAAACATTCAGCTTGAATTCAGATCCGTCGGTGTTCCTAATCGATCCCTGACAAACACAAAGGTGAAGATCTTCCATCAGGATCCGTCCTCCCATCCATCAGTTTACCAACCCTGCCAATCTGCTCTCACATTCACTGCTTACCTCTGATCTCTGGGCTCCAATCCAAATAGTTTGGGGACGAGGGTCGGCACGCCAGGTCAAACAGAGCAGGTTATAAAGCTCGTTATAACCGTGCAGTGACACCAGGTCACTGTTCAAGGTTCTGCAGTGTTCCTGAAATCAACAGTGAGTGTTGGTCTTCACCTTTATCATCACTGTCTGAGGATTCATGTGTCTGTGTGTGTTTCTATCACCTGTGCCTCATGGAAAGTTTTCTGGCTCTGGATGTATGTAGCGCACCGATTCTCATCAATGCGGCTCCATCCTTCAGAGCATGGGTTATCTCGATGCTCGAGACATATTTTCCTTATTGAAAAAGCTGTGAGAACAAGACAAGTGCTTTAACTAACAGGTTTATTGGGCTTTAGTTCAGTAGTGGTCGGTGATTGTGTAGTGACTTACGTCCGGCTGTCACAGTGTCCAAAGAGTACACCAGCAGCAGGACGGCAGTGACCACCACAGTTAGACGCATAGCTCAGACCTCACTGACCCTCAGGGCTCCACAGCTGGAATATGACCTGCAGATGTGACAGTTTGTGAATATTTGCTGGACAATGCACCAGACACAGTCAATAGTCTGGCACATAACTAAATAGGAAGTAAGCCTTTTGTGGCGATTTTGATCTGATTTACATAGAGGGGGCACCCCTGGACACTCCTCAGTGTAGTCTTCCTCAGCTCACTCTCCTTACTTTTGGTTCACATTGAGCATTTTAGATATATTTTCTTTGCTTCTTAAATATTGTTCTTCTTCAGCTGCTCCAGTCCCTGCTTTTTTTTTGTTTTGAGCATTTCAATAAGACATTTGTTTAATTGTGGAACACGTCTCCATGGGCCTTTATTAACTATCCAAATAATTAAGGTTAGAGGTTAAAGTATTTCATGGGGTGCAATTCCTTAGGTGGCATTGCTGGTCCTTATTGCCCTTCCCACACTCTTAACCCGAATTAAGTTGAATTTACTCGCAAATCGCGTGGAAACCCGTTGCCTTATACCACTTTAGTTTTTACACAAGCTGAAACTAAACTTGTCGAGTTGTATTAACATGGAACCTTAAGTTTAGTATTTATATTTATTAGTAGTGTGTACTCAAAATCATTAGATAAAACTAGCTATTATGACTTGTTATTGCTACTCATAATTTATTACAATTACTGTATTTTCACCTCTAAATGCTCCAGTGCATTTTAATTTTAAGAAAAATGGCAAAACACAGCCAATCTTGTTATGACAAACTTAACATCAGGTCAACATCAACACATCCAACCTAAAATGATTAATCTGAATAAGGTCATTTCAAATCATTGAAACGATTATGCGTGTGTGTGTGTGTCTGGGTTTTTCGTGTATCTGTTCGTCCGCTTGTTTTACAGAAAATATAAAGATTTACACCACAGGTAAGAAAGTGTTTTACTGGTGTGGCAAAAAAAAAAATGTAGTCAACAGCTTCTTACAGTACACTTGACATCTCTTTACAATTTGAGCTGATTTTTTAAAGTCTGTAGCTTCGACTTCAGCTTGAATGTTGTCCATCACGACTTCAATGATGATTTTCAATGAGGCTGGACTGAGATGCTGGGAAGATGTGAGCACAGCACCTTCATCTTCAATGAGAAGTGTCTCAATGTCCAGGTCACGAAAAGAATCATCATCATCAGATTCCTAAATAAAGAATAACAGAAGAGCACAATCATTACATTAGATTTCTTATTTGAAAAACAACTTTGTTAACATAAACTCTTTTTAAAAACCTGTGAAAAACAATGCCAAGTACATAATGTGTATGGACCTACATTGGTCTGTTCTGCGTCAACAACTGTCCAACATTCCCTCTCTTGGATCGAAATAACTCGAGGAGACAAGCACTGTGCCGATCGATGCTGCTCATGCTGAACTATACAAAGCAGCTAAACCATCTGCAACCAGCGACCTCACTGTCTTCTGATTCAGGGGTGTCATTTGGAGGCTCATGTTCTTCTTGGGCCATTTCATTAGTTACACAACTAGAGACTATTTCTGACCTGAACATCCTCCAGTTGTGTGTTCTGTGCTCCTTACTTCTGTGTGCATTAAATGTAGAATACACATTTGTGTGAAAGTTACAGCCATTATATAGAAGGGTGCAGAAAAATCACATGACTGACAGTGAAAGGTTACTTGGGCAGTTTCACTCAGTTGTGCACCCTGGGTTTTCTGCTGGATCTTTTGCTAAGTGGACCTTATGTGTGTACAGTGCATTAATGGAGTTGAATGTGCACACACATTCTTGGTGTAAGCAGGGAAATGGGACAGTTCTACTATAGTTTCCGTGTTTTAACCGATAATGTTTTAACTCACAATAATTCCACTTCCACAGCATCCTCACACCACAAGGATCTGTAAAAATAGAAAACAAGAAAACGTTGAGCTCAACGACTCAGCTCAACAATGTCACTGTTAAATACAATAAGGTAATAGAACCGAAACGACGCCTGTCTTACAGAGAAAATGCGCTGCACAACGTGAACACCTCCACAGCGCCTGCGCCACTCCTCTACCCCGACAGCGGTTGAATCGCTTTTCTATTGCGTTATATAAATGCTACAGTCGAGCTAACTCGGTATGTGAGCCGTCCTCAGACTGTTAACACTAAGCTAACTTTAACATTCAGCTGACACTTTTTTGAGTGGACATTAGCTAGTGTAAGCAATAAGCATGTATTAACACCATGCACAGGTTCAAACAGTAACATTAGACAAAAATAAAATTAAACTGCGTCAACAAATTATCTGCAAGCTTTTGGGTATTAAAAAAAATCCCACAAAGATAACTAGGCTACAATAGTTATTTTACATACTAACCATTCCACTTGGAGTAAGGTTGCTTCCTGGTCAGGGTAGTACCGTCTGCTGCCGATGGCTGTGCTCATCCCGCCAGGTGTAGAGCCGCTTGGACGCACGTTACAACAGACGCTGGTCTTGTGACCAGGCAGGTTTTTGAATTACCCCCCTCAAGTTATCTCTGCTAAACCTGATTAGTGCAATGAATCTTTCAGCTAAATAGTACAAACAACTAATGTTGTTCAGTAATGATAGCAGGTTTTTACTAAACATAAAAGAATAAGTAAGGATCACTCGTAAGTTTAAGTAGAAACAAAATCTGGGTTTACAGTGCACATGTTGTATGTGCATTCACTCATATCACTGAGTCTATTGTAGTATAAAATTTGGTGTAGGTTAGTGCATATTACAAGTTAGTAATCAATTAATCACACAATAATCACACAAAAGTTTTAGGTTTTCTTATGCACTGTTGTTTGTTCACACAGATAACTGGAAATCAAGTAGAGAGCACTATGTTTTAAGTAATGATGATTTTGAGTGTTAAGTAGAATAGACAAGGATGTTAATGAAGGCATGTGTTTTAAGTTTATATGATTTCATGAAAAGCACAAATACAAGTTTTCTTATCAGTAGTAAGCACCATGGTTATTTAGTAAAAGTTTGATTTAATGTGTGGAACATATAGAATGTGTGGTTGTAACACAAGTTTCTTATCATATTATAAAGTTTATAAAGTTTTTAAAAAATACAGTAAAAGACATCTGTGACATAATGGTGTAAGGAAAAGGTAATAAATGGTTTTTAAAAATTAGAAGTACAGCAAACTAGATTCTAATGGTGTAATCATGATGAAAGGAGAGCCAAAGAAAATGTCATGGCCTACTAGTGTAGGCCATGAAGCCTGTGGGTTCTGTGATAAGAACATAGGCCTGACGAGGCAGGCAAGTAAGACGCCAGTTGGATGGGACGTGAGCAAAACAAAGGCAGGATAATTGGGCTGATAAGACAACCACTAGGATGGCGCATGGGCCCAACAAGAGCAAAATAATTGGGACCCACGTACTGGTGGACATTTAGGGTCTTTTCAAAGTAGATATACACCATTATGTTGTGGATGGAAAAGGTAGAAGGTGGGCAGGACTTGTGACAGGAGGGCAAAAGTATATAAGAAGAAGCTTTGTGAGGATGAATTCAGTCTTTCCATGGAGGGCTCGGGCTTTGTTTGTCTGTCAAGATAATAAAGCTCTATTCTACTGCCAACTTTGATGAATCCTGATTGTTATTTTTCCACTAATTTGGACTTAGAAAATCGTATGTTGGACAATCTTCTGATCAAAAAGAGAACTCGTTCTGACCCAGACCCAACACTATCAACCTTCACTGGTTGACTGCATTCAGCTTGTGTGAATGGGATGTAATCTCCCACTCTCACCCTGCGCTGCCTGTCGTCGGTAATGTTTGCACCACAGGAAAACACACTGAGTTGGGCTACTGCTTATTCGGATAAACAATGAGTGTTTGGAGCGTTTGTTGTGTGGTGTGCCACTGCAGGTATGGCCCTTGTGCAGCTGGGGGCACTACATCAATTATGGGTGTGACTTGTGTCCAGTCACATTCTTTTCTGCCGCTTTGTTTGAGCTTTGAGTAGCACAGTTTCCATGCTGTCTTTCATGGGGGAAGGAATGTCAGTTTCATCTATGACATTCCACCGACACGGCATCTAACATCCAGGGGCTCATGAGTTTTAACAAATCTGAAAACGTTCTCTCAATAGAGACTCATAGATTTGTGATTTGTGAGGCAGAAACAGTATCTTCAACTACTTGAAGACTGAGGTGATATATTCTTTTACATAGTGTAGTATAAAATCTAATGCATGCGGATGACTGTTATATGCTAAAAATTCTATTAATCACACAAAATGCTGGAAATAATGGTATAAGCACTGTATATTAATCACACAGAAAAATCAAGTAATGAGCACTGTATTCAAGTAGAGTTGATTTTATGGTCAATATGATTTAAGTAAGGTTGATTTTATGTGAGCACACAAAACTGTTAATGAAGTAGAGAGCACCATTGTTTTAGTGAAAGTTTGATTTAATGGTTTGATTTAAAAGTAGAGAGGAATATTGAATGTGTAGTTGTAGCAAGAAATAAGTAATGTTTGTACCAAAAAATATGTGAATGATTGTAACACAAGCTTCTTGTCATTTTATAAGGTTTATAAAGATTTAAAAATACAGAACATTATGTCATGGATCGAGAAAAACAGACAGTTGGGCAGGACTTATAATTACTATAAGTGTATAAAAGGTGATGTTCTGACATGAAAATTCAGTCTTTCCATGGATGACTCGGGTTTTAATCTTCTGCAAAGGGAATAAAGCTCTACTGCCTACTTGGATGAATCCTGGCTGTTTCTTTTCCATCTAAAGAAAATACTATTTGGACCCAAATTTTCCATTCAAAGGATAATATTAATGGACCTGATTT